GCGTGCGCGATTATAAGAATATATTTTGATAATAAAATTTTATGATAGATTTGTTCATTTGTGTAAAGTGTAACCAGGACGCTCTCTGTAAATATAATTTGTACGAGAAAGTCGGAATATATTTCGAGGAAACTACTTTTGCGAGTCTGTCGAGATTCGAAGATGAATTGCGAGGATGCGTCTGTAGAGACTCGAAGATCGGTGCTCGGTTTTAAATGCGTTCGTGACGCGTTTCCACGTGCACGTGGATTTCAAGCGAACTAACTGTGAGAGTTCGATGGAAGGAAAAACACGCCGTGCGGGAGAAACAGACGAAGAGGAAGAAGCGTTCGACGGAAGAAAAGCTCGAGCGAGAGAGCGAAGTTATTCTTTCGTCTCTGTGCATCTCTCGGTGCTTCTCCGTGTATCGGGTATTCCTCCCACTGCAACTTGCGCGGTTGGTTCTTTCTCCACGTAGTAGGGGACGGAAGGCAAAGACCCACTGGCACACATACCGATCGTTTCCTTTTTTACGTTTGGAATATCATAAAACGTCGAGACCGACGCTGAAAGCAGCTCAGACGGCGGTGCAGTCGCGAACGAAGCCGGTCGCTTCTCTGCGATGCAATCCTACCTATATGTAAACTGCAAAAGCGGTTGATGCATTATTCGCTATGAATTATTGCGAGATGAGTATTTTGCAGAATAATTGAATTGCTTATGTCTCTGCGCTGCGTTTAATTTCGTGGTCATGTCACATGAAAAAAAATAATTTCTGTAAATTTTATTAAATCTAAACACAATATTCCACTCGAATAGTCCAAACAAGCTGTTAATCAAACAGTACAATTGTTTGGCTTTACATGTTACTTAAATAAAATGTTTATTTAAAAATTACTGCTTCTATAATTAGTTATTTCAGAATATTAAATTGTCCTAAGACTACTCTGTAGAGAAAAAAACTCGAAACTTTGTTTGATAAATGAGCGTTCTATCATTTAACTAGTAATTATTAGAATTAGTGTTAAATTAATATTTCAATATAAATTCTGCGGTCATGTTTTTTCTGTACTACAATTGCAACAAGAAACAAATCGATGGTGATTTGAAAATGGCAAAAGATTGTCAAATTCTTCGTGCGATGGTTGCATGCGATCCACCACGTCACCGAATAAAAATATTATTTGGTTAAAACTAATTATTTTATAATTATTTTAACACTTGTATTGTTTTTGTCAAATAATATAAAAATATTTATTCAGCAAAATTATTATTTAGTATAAGATTGTGTTGTTTGAATGCAACAAATGTGTGAGTCAAACAAATAGGATTATTAAATCTAAAGAAATCGTTCTGTCTGCGGACGTCTTGTCTGTATTGCTACTTTAATAAAAAAAAAAAAAAAAAGAATTATATGCATGAATGATTGAACAAGTCGAGTAATTACCGTGAATGGGATGATTAATGAAAATTTACGATTTAATTTTGTCTTCACTAATCACAGATTGTAAACATGAAATGTGTTACAATAGAAAACTTGATTTGAAAAGCGTATTAATGCTATTATATTGTTCGGCATAGAAAGGGCTTATAATATCGAGTTTTTCTGGCACAGCACTCGCCAATTATGGTCCATAGACGAGAAGAAGACGAGAGAATCTGGGAGTGCAGGGAAAATACTCCGTTACATTCCACACTCATTGCGAAACGCGTAAGCAAATTTAAAATTCAAATTCAAGCTGTGCTGCCTATCGGTTGATATTTTTTTAGGTCGTAAGGCATCGTAGTACATCGAAATACATTGTAGAATCGATCAAACATTGCATCAGAAATTCCCAGCACAGTCGATTGACGGACATTAAACCAGATACTGACAAGTTCGAAGGCTGGAATATCAAGAGCCACACACCGAGTCTTTCTGATTTAGAACAGGAAACGAAACAAAACGGTCGGTTGAATAGATGCGACTTCTCACTGTCCCGAATCGATACGTTTTTTAAGCAGACACGCTCCGTTTTTGTCCAACCGGAATTTTAGATATCGTGGGAACATCTTGCCTCATTGGCATATTTGTCCGGAAAAATATTATGACCTGTGAAAGTCGGCGAATAACGTCGATATCTATATATATATATCTACATATATCATGTAGACGATACATTTCGTGAAAGAATTCTGAAGAATAATATATTTGCTCTATATTTTAAATTTATAAAAAAATTTAGAAGTAATAATACATATTGTTTCAAAGTTATTTTAAATTGTTACAAATTCTGGCAATGTTTCAACGTATTTCGTTGAATATTTAATAAATTTGCATAAATTATAATAGAATATTAATTTAAAAAATTGGGTTTTGTTCCGATTTATTTCATATCTACATTTCATCTGTGTAATAATGTAACGGTAAATTCCGCATGATGAGCGAGAGTTGGCGTAATCCCGTAATATAATAGAAATGTTCGAATTAATCGCATTTCATCGAGCGCGAATCATACGTTTGATCTACAACGGTCTCCTCGTGCTGAGAATAGCGATTTTACCCGCGACTGGGCGTGACTGTGGTTTTCTTAACGATTGTTGCTGTCTCGCGTTGAGGAGAAACTTTGGTTTTACTTTTTAAGGCCTCGCTCTTCCGGGAGTGGAAGGATCGACGAAAGGATTCTACGAGCGCTATTCGATGACCGAGAAAGGATGAATGAGTATTACTCATTACTGACGTAAGATCGAGAATGAGAACCGCGCTGTTTTGCTTTTCATTCAGTCCCTTTTTATGACGAGAAGTTTTGTCGACCGTGAATTCAGGACGAAAGCGCTTCTTCGTCACTTCGTAATTATTGTGTACGTTGAACAAAGGAAATATTAATGTGTGATCTCCTGAGTATTAAAAAATTCACACCAAACATCTTACATGCGTCTCTATTTCACTCTTTCTCTCTCTCTTTCTCTCTCGTTCTTTCTCTTTTCTTTTTTTCTAACGATTTCGTTCTATCAAATATGTAAATCATAAAGAAAAGTAACAATTCAGTGTAATATGCAAATAACAAAGAAAAGTAAGTGCTAGAGAATCTTGCGAGATTATAACTTAGATAAAATATAGTTAAAAAAAATAAAATGTATACATTATATGTATATTTTATCTCCAGAAGTTTAAAAATAATAAAAGAAAGAGAGAGAGAAAAAGAAATTAAATTTTGCACACAAAAATGTGATACGTGAAATTTTTGAAATATTATAAAAAGAATCTCTTTGTATCTTTTATAATAATTTTCGTTTCTCGAATGACAGACACTTCGTAACGGTGTGTTTGCTTGTATTTTTCTGCAAGTCGGTAAACCGCTCATCAAGAGACGCGGCACTTGCCACGTTGTTGATGACATTAGTCACGGACCATCGACGATTTTACTTTCTCGTAATTTGAACCCACGCCCGTTGAGTGTGACAAGGATTTTCCTGCTCGCAACTCCGTCTTGCACGCGGGTTGGAACGAACGAAATGAAAACGACAAGAGCCGTTTATCCGACAACAAGAGCCGTGAGAGTCGTGAGGGTCAGAGTAGAAAGTGGTGTCCGCATGCGCCGCGATGAAGGTCGAAGATCCGGGATGTTTGAACTTGATCTATACCAGTTTTCTTTCATTCATGCCGATGCGTTTCGTATCCAGCGTTCAATCGCAATACAGCCATTACGCGCACGAAGGATGTTTCCTCGTCTATAAGGAGAGAGTACGATAATTTCAAGGCTCTTTCTCTGCAAACTTCAACGACAATTGTTAGCAACAAGCGAAGAGACCGTATGAGCTACTTGAAGATATCGCTCGCTTGCTCGTTCGGACACGATATAATAGTTCACGAATGAGGTTTTTCAGTAGTACGAGTACAATCTAATCAGGCGCGGAAGTCGCATTATTACTTCGTCGGACTATCCCGATTTCTTTTTTTCTTTACTTAACGCGCAAAAGGACGTAACGTGGGTTAATTAGACAACGTTTATTGCTGTTTGTAGAAACCATAGAGAGAGAATATATTACCAAGAATATATTACCAACCTCGCCGTAACTGGTTCTCTTTAAACGTTTCATTTATATACGCTTTCTACGTTGAATAATAATAGCTAACGTTTGTGGCTAATTGAATATTTTGAAAAATTATATCTCGCCAAGTCTCATCTCTCGCAAATTGTTCATTATGCGTGAGTTAAAAATATATAATAAATATTGAAACGTGACAGGTATGCACTAAGTATGTCCCTGTTCCTCTAAAGTCGATTAATGTTAAGACAGGAACTCAGGTGTAAAGCAACTTCTCTCGAAAGTATGTTTGCATGAAATTTAGCACATTCTTGAAATTTGGGTCCCATCCAGTCTTCGATTTTTGTACACGCGTAAGTGTGTAAGGTAATCAGGACACAACGGAAAATGCTGACTTGAGAGCAAATAAATTTAATTTTTTAAACGTAGTACATTCGTAATCTCTAACATACGATTTATAATACATATCATGTGTATTATATATTAAATTGTACAAATATACGTGATATTCACGATATTAATACAATTATTCATTTAATGGATCACGTTGAGTTAATCTCTAATCGTTACTTTTCATTATGCTCATATGTTTGCGATATGTGAATAAAATATTTGTATGTTTAACTAAAACTTGCAAGTTTGCTGCAACGCAAACCTACGTACGTATTGGAAGAAAGCGATTTTACTATTGCCCGAGGCGCTGCACTTAAACGTCCGATCTCTATTTGTTCGTCGAAGGTAGGTCACAGGTCGTGTCGCGATAGGCGGCGGCGTGGTCGAGGACACGATGTACATACACTTATCGTCTATTGGGCGGATACGTGCGGTTAAAGGAACGCACAACGCACACGGGACCTCATGCATTCACGCATACCACACGGAAAAAAAAGACAGAAGAGGTGGGGCGGTCATCGGTAGAGACGGTTTGGAAGGGGACCTCCAAATATAAGGTAAAGAGATTGCCCGATGGACCATACGAAATTTGACTACGAACGAAACAACTTTCGGAAAAGTTTTCGTAGGTCCGGTCATTATCCTTCGCAAAACGCGTCTATATAATCGTGCGCGACTACAGTGCTTTTTTTTTTTTTTAACATCTTGTGTAATTAGCTGGGAGTCATGAAGTTACTGGCAAAGCTGCTGATTCTGACGACCGCGGTCGTGCTCATCGCCGGACAAAGCATCGACGAATGTCTGAAGCAGGACAGCATATCCTGCGTGCAGAAAACTCTGTACAGAACCGCGAAGGAATTTTTCGCCAAGGATACGCTCGAACTTGTGAACGGAATCAGTCTCGTGAAGAGTAACGCCGAGGCCGGTAGTTCCAGGTCCGGCAAGGCGCTCGCTTACGATCAGGAGATGAACGCCGCTAACGACATCGTCGCGAGACAGAACACTCTCGAGAACTTCGTCAACGATGAAGCTGGACAGTTCTTGACCGGACGTAGTATTAGGGTAAGTTAAAAAATTAATTGTAACATAGAACAATTGTCAGAGACTTTATTCTTGTTAAATTTATAACGAACACTTTTATGTGAAAATACAATATAATTAAAATAAATCGCACGTCTAAATTGATCAATTCCTTACAGATCAATCTCGCGCCCGCCTTCGAGAAGCTTCGTGAATCGGCCCGTGCCATCAGCGAGTCTGTGCCACCCGAGATTCGCCAGGCTGTCGACGAGGTCGTTGAAGGTAAGTGCCAGACGTTACGTTTATACGATACTTTCCACACTTATCTCTCTTTAGATCAGTGCGTAACAAGGATTATGACAAGGATTATAAAATTTCTTAATAATTTCAGCTCGAGGCAAGAAGAAACAACTGAAAAATCTTATTCCCCTGTTAATCGCCGCGAAAGTGAAGCTCGGTCTTCTGGCGACTCTCGCGTATTTTGCCATCGGCATTATAGCGAAGAAGGCGATCTTCGCGTCTCTTATTTCCCTCGCCATTTCAGCCTTCATTGGCTTGAAGGCGCTTTGGTCGGGCAAAGGTGGCAGTGTCTATCATCACGACCTCACCGCTTACAACAACGGCTGGAATGCACCGGTCGCGAGCGGATGGTCCGGTCCAGTCAACACCGCATGGTCCTCACCCGTTTCTTCTGGCTGGGACGAACATGCATCTTACGCGCACAACCAGGCGTATTCCGGATATCATCACTAATGGCGATTCTTGACGCTATCTTCTTCTTTTTCTAATGTCTTCTTTGTTTTTAATCTTATTGTTTTCTATTTCTTCTTTCTCTTCTGTTTTCTCTTCATTGAAACAACGGGCGAGACGGGAAGAATAGGATATCGACGGAAGTTTGATAACCTGAGCTTCGCGTTGCGTCTTCATTGTTTGCGATCGTAAATATATTTATTCTTATTTATCATTAAATAGTGAACGGGATATCCAAGTCCCGCCGCGATGTACATAAAGTATCACACCAGCTCGCGTACTTACACACGTCTGCGAGTAAGACGAGCAAAGAAAATGTAAATCAAATCAAACTAAGAGGCTAGTCGCAACATTTGTTCAACAGGAACCGCCGCGAAGCGACGGTTTTACCGTTCGATATTACAGATGCGTCACGACTTCGGCATCGCGACTTCTGCGACTTTAAGAGCTTTAGTGCGATTTGTAGCAGAACACACTCAGCGCAGTTGATTAATCGTAGGTACATCTAGTCCATTACGATGTATATGAAACACAATATAAGCTGCATTCTTACAAATCTGTAATATGTGTGCATTATTTATATAAATATAATATTATTTATAAAATAACTCTCTTCGAATTGTGTGTACGTCAATGTCCACATATCCTCAAAAATATTATCGTTCCATTTTCTTTTCCTGTAAATTTAGTCTTTGAAATTGATTACGCGTAGTTTGCGGAGAGAAAAATAATATAAAAAAAATAATATAAAAAAAGGAAATTAGATTAAATAAAAAAAAAATAAATATATCGATTTTATGCAAATTTTAAACAATTTGGAATTTTATCAACAGTGAAAGTTTTTTAATTATTCTTGAATAAATACATATTCATGTATAATAATTGGCAAATTTAAGAGAGAGTACTTTTTATATTTTTAATAACGCCTCCTCTCGTCCTCGTCCTCGAATTCTCGGATCATTCATGAACCGGCTCCTCGAAAAGGCTCTTTGAAAAAGAGAAATCACCGGTAACGGTGACTTTCCAGTCTTCCAGGAAGATCCAAAACATTTTTTTTTTTTTATCACAAGCGAAACTCTCGCCGGCGACCGCGTTGCATAAAGAAGACTATATTCGAAATCGTTAACACAGCGTTTTTGTTCTTTTTGACGAGTTTGTGCGCGCGGTAATCGTTCGAGTCGACGAGATGGAAATGCGACTGAGACTCTCGGATCCGCGGTCACAGGGGAAAGTGGATGTGTCTCAGGTGCATCCGGTGCCGCAGTTGTTTCCTCGATCCGCGGTAGCTCGTAAGGTCGCGACTCGCGTTCGTCATTCTCAATCGGGTCGAGGAGACAGGCACATCCTACTAAATCTTACGAGACTGATGTTCCTAAGTCCCACATAGAAGAAGAAAAATTAAATAGCTGGAAAGGAGGTTGAGGCGAAATAGCGCGTTTCTTTTCTTCGTCGCCGCGTTAAAACCCAACCGGACAACAGTAAAAAGAATTTTACTTCGACAATAGTAGGGTATGCGCCGGCTTGACGTTTTCTAGGACGATCGCTGCTGCACCGCGGTAGGTGATTAGCGCTTGCGCGAGGGAAAAGTGCGATTTCCGTCGAGAGAGAAAAAAAATAAATTAATAGCAAGTTGTAAAGAGAATGAGATCTATGATTTATCTCTTTCGCTACGAAAGAAGAATCTCCGTCATCACGCGACAGGCATTATAATTTACTAGATAATTCCTGTCGGAAGAACAAAAAAAAATGCACAAGTACGAAACATTTTAAAATTGCGCGGGTAACACGCGCCGGAGAAACAAATTATTTGCACGATATCGTAGCACAAGATAAAAGAGAGCGGAGAGGAACGTTGGAAAAAGGCGTTTGTCACGCCTCGTTATGTTCTTCTGTAGCGACGATCACGACGTGATTCCAGAAAGGACAACGGTGAAAAAGATGCGAAATTGCTTCGAGAGGAAGAGGAGTTACTTTCGTTTGCAATAAAACTAAACATAAAGTAGTATATACGTGTTTATCACATGTTACATATTTTGTATAAGTTTTATTTTTATTATAAATAAGAATACATTTTTTCTCGCTCTGGATTTATTTGATATTTTACTGTTATACAAAATATGATCTTTTGTCTTGAATCGCGGGATGCGAAAATATTCGAACTTGAATAAACTTGAATAAACTACTTGAATAAACTAACTAACTATCATGAAAATTGGTGCTTCACGGATGTGCGAGCGGATGAATAGATCCGTTCCTCGGGCCCACAAAAGCGGAATTTCTCCGCGTTCATAGCGCGGAGCGCATTTCATTATTAGAGAGTCGTAAAGTTTCGTGGCAATCGCGTCTTTTACTCGCATCTATATCTAGGTACGATTCTCACGATTAGTTTCACGAGTTTCTCATGCGTCATTAGGTTACTATTTCTTAGCGATAGGCCGATTTCCTCGGTCGTTATTAGCCGCACGTAAGTATCGTCGCGTCGTTGCATCGGCGTCATTGATCACACTCGCACGTGTTCAGCGCGTACAAAGTAACATTATACGCGTGTAACATTTAATTACGAATCTCATCACGAGATCCCTGCGCAAAAATGTTAAAAGTTTGAAAAGTTTATAGTTTTGATAAAAATTTAATTCAACTTTATTTTTGATAAAATGTTAAAGTTTTGCTATAAAAAAAATTCTTCCTTTCTTTTTTTTTTATCTTACTCGTCGTTCGTCGTTATTTTTCACGATTTCACATGAGAAAGAGTATAAGACTGTTCAAGAAACTCACGATCGAGAATCAAGAGACCCGGATAGGTTTGTAGTCTGCGAGGTGTCGGTGCTTGTACACCTTGAACTTAACCAAGCACCGAGCGATTTCAAAACAATCGCCGGCGACCGTTACCTTTCCCGTGACTTTCAACAATCCAAGTAAGGCCAGGGTTACATTGTTGCGCGAAATAGATATCCGCTACAACAAAATCTAATTGGAACTCTTGTCCTTAATTGTTTTCGGCAATCTGACTAATTGATATCACACAGAAGCGTCACGATGCAAGCCTGGTTTCTCTCGTCACTTGTAATTCTCATCTTCGTTCTCCAGCATCGATCTCTCCTTCTGTTTTCCCCGCGGCACATATGAAGAATTTCTGATGGAGCAATCTACTACTTTCGGCAACTTTCATGGTAATTTAATGCATGATAATTTAACCTAGAGATGAAAATTATATAAAAAAATGTTTTACTATAATTCAATTTTGTTAAATAATTTGATGTGACATTATGTTTATATAACAGCATGTTGTGGTGTAATAAAATATATTTTCAACAAAAATTAATTAACTTTTTATGATACATGTATTATATAACATATGTATTAAATAAACAAAAAGAAAAACAGAAAGAGAAACTACACGGCATACTTTGATATAGAAATGTGTGAAAAACGCAAGTACAAATATCAACATTGATTATTCATCGCAATTCTCAAGAGACGAGATTGATGAGTACATCGATTGCTTATTCATTCAATTACGTACAAAAAAAAAAAAAAAAAAACAACACCACGCAAGACGTTCGCTTTTGTTTAAGAGATGTGTAGGTGTGATTTCCCGCTCGGTGCGCTCTGTTCGTTTCTCGCCTGGATTTTTAAAGAACCCGCCGGATTACAGACCGCGTCAGGTGTGTGATTTCGCTCAAGGCGACATTCGCTCTCGCGGTACTTGGGGATCTTGATCCCCGAGAGAAGTCGGGATCGAGAACGTCGTTTACCGTGGGAAGGAACAAGAAAACGCAAAGGAGTAAGAGAGACAGACACGAAGAAGAGGGAGGCACGAGACAGAGAAAGAGAAAAAGAGAGAAAGAGACCGAAATGATCGCCCAACTCTCGACCCAGTTATAAATAGGTGAGCGACCTCGTTCCAGGGGTAATATCTCGTGTTCATCATCTGCCGATGAATTTTTCGGAGGTGGACCCGCCATCACCTGCGACAATTAACCACCGCCGTTTGCACCACAACGACAATGTAGCGAGCGTACATGAGACGCGAGACTTCTGTTTCTCTCGTACATTTCGATTGATGAATATCGCATGGGAGAAAAATTAGGAGATCAGGTGGCAAGATAATTCTCGGTTTATTCTCATAACTCTCCATTGTAGCCAAGAAAGTAACGTAAAGGAACGAAAATAATTACAATTTACCGTAAGCAACTCAGTATCTAGACTTCTCGCGCGTTACGTTGTGCTACTTTGTAGCAAAGCGAATTAATCAAGCCGAAGTAGCGAGATATGAGTCATCAGTCGTCTCTAATGGAGGTTGTAATCGCATCCGCCAACGCGGGTTCACGGACGATGTCGCGCGTACCTTTATCGAAACTATACACGACCTCGTTGGATATCTGGAGCAACCATAGGCGTTGTTTGAATAAACTGGAGAAATGTAAAAAGCTATATAACTCGCATTGACAAGTCCTGGAATTTCGTTCCGTAAATTGTACCGGCGAGCGATCCACCGCGCAGTCTCGCAAGAATTTTCTTTGATTAGCCGCCTCACGTCATCGCGACATGGAGTCCTGGTCATTCGAGTCGCCACAACACTCTCGAAATAATCATACCCGACCAGGTGAAGTGGTGCGGCAAATCATATGGGATCCTACGTATATACTTTTTCCGTCGTCCTGGATGTTCATGGATTTCCCTTGTCATGAGTTTCCCTCGTCGAATCTCATCCCGGACTGTACTTGGAGGGGCTCTCCTTCTATCGCGAATTGTTGCGGCTCGAAGTAGGTCCACACAGCGTGAGAACGAATGTCGGATACACGCAGACAAAGAAATATACGAAGAAGAAGAGCGCTCGTGTGGGCCAATTAAACGAAATTTAATTTGAGAGAGTAGAAAGATATCAATAAAATATCTTGATATATATATCAAGATGCTCGCAGAGAAATTCGTATTCTATTGTGTTCCACATATTTCTGCTTCTTTTTTTTTTTTTTTTAATTTCTATCTTTCTCGCTCCTTCATACCTCGGTGGGTTTTTACTTTGCCGAAATAAGCCGGTTAATGAGAGGGAGGCCCAATGAAGGGAGAAAAGTCAGAGAAGAGCGTGTGGGGAGATCCTTGCGGCACCCGACACACTCGATGGAGCAAGAGAGAGAAAGGGGTGGGGGGGTAACGAGAAAGGAGCAGCGAAAGGAGGGAGACGAGAGAGCGTACGACGCGAATGCGAATCCCCGGTGGCCTGCGAACCTACGAGGGCTCCCCTCGTGTGCGATACTTCGGTATAAAAGCAAAGCAACCTCTTTTAGATGTAACACACGAGGCAAGCATCGGTACATCCTGGCGTGCCTGACTACGTTCGAACGCCAGCACGTTGGGCCACGAGGAGCACGCGGTTTTGAGGATATACACTTCGTTCGCTACAAGAACGCGTTGCGGAGTTGCGCACTCTCGGTGAATCATGGCCAAGCATTTTGTCACGTTGTTGTGGTTGTCGGCGTTGACCGCGACCCTGGCCTTGCCGACCAGTGAGAAGACCGGCGCAAGTGAGAACGACCTGATGACGAACATATACACCGACTGTCTGAAAAAGGAGTCAATCAGCTGCATCAAATACAAAGTATTCACGTTCGTCGATAAGATGTTGTCCGACAAGGAGGACATCACGCTATCCGAGGGCATCACGGTCGTGAAGACGACGAATACCGAGGGCGAGGGTGCACCAAGGTTCGTTGTTTTTGTGAAAACTCTCGAGGATTACGAGAAATAACGTAAACATTGAATTTCACTCGATTCAAAAGAGTTAATATCTATGTTTACATTGTTTGACAGATCTATCGAGTCTAGCGATTTCGAAACGCTTTTATTCGATCGTCTCGGAAGGTTCCTCAGAACCCACTCGGTTAAGGTTGATTTGAAGGGCAGCGACATTTTGGGAGCGCTCGAGTCCGTCGGCCGCAGTTTCGACGATTTCAGCGACAACGCTGTCGAGAGTCGAGGAAAGAAGAGTAAGTATATGAAATAAAAAATTTTTATATTCTTTGTGAAAATGATGATGTAAGAGAAGATCGCAGCTTCTTCGGATGCGCTTATAATGCAAAACCGGTTGCGGTAGTAGTAACCGTCGATATCTAATTATGTTTTATTAAGTTTGTTATTCAACGGAACGGCGCATTTAACAAATAGAGGATCGTTTTGAAAGCGAAACTGGCACAGTAATCGATTTATTCTTAATCAAGTCGTGTGCATCAGCTTTTTGTTCAATTAAACTCTCTCTTAATATCACACTCCTTTAATACTTACATTCTGAGTAATACAAGATTTCCATTTGTGTTACTATTTAAAAATATTTTTGAAAAGTTGTTTGTTTTACCATACATATCTTGCACAACTTACACAGTTACATTTATTAACATTTTAATAAATTAATGTATAAAAGATATTTGCATATATTAAAAATATATTTGTGCTAATTCACGTTTTCTACTTGTATTCGACGAACAACTTTCGAAATTATATGGAAGTACAATAGAAAAGAAAGAGCTAGAAGCATACCAAAGAGGTAATCAAGGTTCATCAGGCCAACGTCAGCTGCGGTACGAGAACTCTTCGGCGTTCTTCGTCGCTGTGCGAAACAGTGACGATGACGACGAGGAAGCCGATACCGGTCGCAGACGTTGACCCACTGAGAAACTGGTTCCGCTTCCCCTCGGCGAATCTCGTCGGTCGATGGAGGATCGAGAAAAGAGCGAGATACCGAAAGCTTAGGAGAGAGATAGAGATCGAGAGAGATCCCGCCGCGCAAGATTTTTGACATACTTTCCTTGCTGATACTTCGCCTTGACCTTCGTCTATTCCACTTTAAAAAAATGCTGACATCTCTCCGTAGTTGGCGTGAGGGCGGTGATTTACACAAAGCCATTATTATCGGAACCGAGTAATGATGCACGAACAATTACCTGAGTATCGCGTCGCATCTCGGCACAACCGATTATCTCTTTATAAGAAAAAAAAATTTTATTGCCACTCGACGAACAAAACGTGAGATTAAGTTTTTTTTTTTTTATACAAATTATTTAGAATTATCGCTTTTGTCACATAAACACAAAATAATATATAATTATGACAAAGTGAAATAATCTGATGTTAAAAACAGTTTTTTATATTGCTAACAATATTTTGCATCGCACAATTTGATAAATTTTTGTATAGAGATAAATTATATATATTGTATTAAAAACAATTATTATATAGATAATGAACAATAAGTATCTCTCAATTTAAGGTGACCTAGAGGTTTTTGTAATTCATCTTAATGTCTCTTTTTTCAAGTATAAATATAAAACCGCCGTGCAAATAAACGTGCACACGCAAGACAGATACAGTTCTTTCTTAAACAACGTCGTTATAAACCGATTATTATTTTTTTATTCGCTCCGTGAAAACAGGTATATTCTGATAGCATATCTCGTAATAGGATAATTGGCAATGCGAAGCACAACCGTACATTGAAACGTGTTCATTACGCTACATCATCGTAGAGAATTCCCGTTCTTTTATAGAAGTGTGAAAAGAATGTAATGACAGCAGTAACCTTTCATGCGGTCCGTGCTCAAATCCTACATTTAGTAGTAACAAATCACATTTTTATTAAGTATTAAATCATCGTAATAAAACAAGTTTACCAACATGTGTCAAATTGTTTCGCGTCATAAAAACGTATCAATCATATGTTTAAACAAAAAGTATTGTAGGCAAAAATAAAATCAAAAGAGGCTAGAGAGAATTCAATTTCAAGCCACGCTTACGTATAAAACAAAAAACAAAAACGCAGAATAATAATAACAAACTAAAATGCGAATGTGCGAAACATTGCAGAGAAGGCGCAGAAAATTCTTGGACCTCTGATGATGGCAATGGCCTTGAAGGCGGCCGCTTTGCTGCCGCTGGCACTCGGCGCGATCGCGCTGATCGCCGGCAAGGCTCTGCTCATAGGCAAGATCGCCCTCGTGATCTCCGCCATAATCGGACTGAAGAAACTTCTCTCTCATCAGAAGCACGTGACTTACGAGGTAGTTCAGCATCCGCATCACAGCAGCAGTCACGTCGTCACCCACGACGACGGTCACAGCGGCGGCGGCGGTTACGGCGGCGGCGGCGGCGACTTCGGCGGCGGTTACGGAAGCAGCGGACACGGATGGGCCAGGAGTTTACCGCAGGACGCCCACGAAATCGCGTACCGCGCCCACCAGCCCCAAGCACAGGCTTAATCGTAGAAAGTTTTCGCACCTCTCGTCTCTTTTCGTTTCCCTCGAACGATCATTCTCTTCCCTTTCGTTGCACTCGCGTCTGCCTCACTTAATACGTCCTTTGATTGTCTCTTTCTTTTTTTCCTTTCTCATCTAACTTCCTACTGTGTGTACGTAATTCATTCTATCCAAAAACAAAAACAAAAACTCTTCATAGCTCCTACTGATTCCTATTCCATGTGATCTTATATCCTTAAACATCTACGTTCTAAGTTTTTTCCATTTTTTTTTTTTTATTATTATTATCTTTCTTCCCTCTTTTTTTAGTTAACTCTACACACGAAGGTCGATTTATTTCACGGCCAGTCACCAGTACCTCTGGGAGATGCTCATTGTTTTATACATGTAGATGTATGCGAGTTACGTTATTTATTCGTTGTATCTTTATATTATTAATATTTATTTAATGTTCGACTGTGTGCTTCCATTATGACACCTCCTGTTTTTTTTTTCTAATAAAAAGACGAAAAATGTGAGAGACACGCTTCCGTCTTGTTCCAAAGAGAGATTGAGCCTCCAATCACGTAAGACTGTTCGGCGATTCTCGTAAGAGTGATCGCTATCCGTGACCGAGTCTTCTATTTATACACGACACTGCACTTGCACTCGTAGCCGTAATGCGTAACGTAAGATACGTGAAGTACGCGGTCTATCGAGCGCGAAGTAGCGATCGGCGCACCGGATGCGCGGATGTGTACCACATTTTCTCTACCAGCAAATAGATTCGTAATGAAATAGGGTAAAGTTCAGGAGCACGGGCGAAAGTAAGTCGAAGAATGTGCAGCACGATCGTTTTAACGCTCGGAAGCGCGTAATATATACGAGATTACGAGCAACGCGCGGATCTTTACGATATATATGCAGAAGTATTTTATACCGTTCTCTTTTATACGTTTTACTCGTTTTTTTTACCGTACACTTGTCGGAAACGTTCTAAGAATCGAAAAAACTTAATTAATACAAGTGGAATGCGTCTCTATTGGTTCGAAATGAGATTAGGTAAGTACACATATATATATATGTAACATTTAATTAATATTTTAAAAAAAGTGGCTTCTTTTTACAATATCCGAGTTTTTGGAGCAACAGAAAATATAACCAGACTTTGCTAATCAGACTACAATTAATGTTAAAAGTTAATAATTAAATTTAAAAAAAAACGGGAGAGTAGATTTTCTTACATTTTTCACCGATACGTGGCCGAATAACAAGCGTGCAATAATCACGATAAACATTCGCGATACTTATCTTAACTTAACCCAGTAATTGGCCTCCGAGACCGGGCGCATACGCAGCCAGGTACAACCTGTAACCTGCATACCGCGATAACGTTGCTCCTTCCGCTCTTACCCACATGAAGCCGGCCTTAGGGGAAAAAAAAAGAGGTACGCACACAATAATAACGACAGTTTCATTGGCCGCGAAGCCACGCGTATCGAGTCGCCGCGGAAAATCACCGTACGACGAAACGGTCGTGCAAAATGGAATTCAGGACCGCGTGGCTTCGCGAACCGGAAACGAAAAAGTCGCGCGCGTAATTATTATATTAACTTTGCGCTTACCTGACAAATGAAACGCCGGTGAGATCTCGCGTCCGTCGCTTTCGCCACGAGAGGATCATTTTCACGTTGCCGCGAGAAATCGGTAACGTGCAACGTTATGCAGGCAAGTTCCGGTTGTGTCCGCGACACATCGCGTGGTCGGTCTCGCAACCACGCGTGAGAGCAAATCGAAAAGAAGACGAAGAAGAAGAAGAAGAATAAGAAGCGTCACCTTCTTCTGCATCCAGTGATATGCTTTCTTGCGCAGAACGTAGCTTGCGTGCTGCTCAATGAAAACGTCACGCATCGACAATCTCGACGCGATGTTAACGAAGGTGAAGGGGCTGACGCGATGCGATAAAGCAAACACTTTGTTTTAATGACAACCTTGCGATCGATACTTCGGCGATTTCTTTCTTCGCGTGATGATCTCCGTTTCGTTTCTTTCGTCCCGGTAACGCGAATGGTCTAAGTGCATCTGCATGCAACTGCGTTTTCACTTGGCGCGACCCAGTTTAAAGCCGCTGACATACGTCGAATCGGACGAAAGAGTTATTTCGAGGATGTATACGAGGAACCGGGTGGTTGGATGAAGCATCATGCGAATTAGATGATTAATCGGATGAAGAAATTGCGCATAACGCGTGTAACGGTATATACATGCCGATAAACCTGCCGATTCATCGTTTCTCTTTTTCAATGACATGATTACATTGGCGCGTAAAGGGAAACGTTTATGCGCGATCTTTGAGTGAAAAGTAGAACGTACATTGTCACATTGATTTAATAGTCACTGAGGCAGGCGTCGCGAGAATCGTCGACAAGTTCAGTGTCAACGACGCGCCGAACCGTATGTCCGATTGCTTGACGAATAATAACAAAATGCGATTATACACGTATTCGATTGTGGGCGACACGTTATCGTAATTCTATATCGATCCTTCAAACAGTTTTGTATTTACCACTTTTCTTGCGAGAATTTTTTAAGTAAAGTTATAAAATATTTTTGAAGAAATCGAGATTTTATCTCAAAATTCTACTTTTTCTGATACAATCGCGTGATATAGATAATTAAAATGGCTTATTGAGAGAAACGGGAACAACGGACTTCCAAAAATTATTTTTGCCATTTAATGAATAAAGAATCGGATTAATAGTTGCGTACCTATCTGCGAACACATGTATATATATATATGTAATCTTACTTCGTGCTAATAACACACTTTACGTTTTATTGCGCTTCCTGCGATCAAATATATCAATGGTTGGCACCGAAGGCGCTTTCTATAACCTAATGTTATCTCGTTCGGCTCGCGCGTCCTCCGCCAGCTGGTGCGCGAGCGTATCTCGCCGGCAAAAATTTATTTCGCGCGACGCGCCTTTCATTTTCAATCTTATTTAGAACGTCTTGCGTCGGCGAACCGAAACAAAAGATTAGAAAACTCGAGGGAAGAACGGAACAGAAGCATCGAACCACATCGGTGCGTAGGCGGCGCGCAAAAGGAAAATCAACGGAACAACGCGGATACGCGGTTAAACCGGTAGTAATATATCAAAAATTTAACGCGAAAAAAAATCACAAGAGCGATACTGACGAAAAAAACGGCAAAGTGTAAGAACAGCAAAATTCTGCTGTAGGTGCGCGTGGAATTGCACGTGGCGAGTTGGTGGGAGGCAGATCCGGGGAGATCATGAAGCGCCCCGTTCCGGAGGAATTCTGCTCTCTACTCTCGTCTTCTCCCGGGTGGTTGGTCGTTCTCCGCGCAAAGCGACCGTTCTCAAATCAATGCTCGAGAGTATGAAAATAGTCGCGCAATAGTAGCGTACACCGCTACCACATCGGGTGGGGGGAATATTGCACGGTACGGAGGTACACCAGAACCAGATATATAGAGCTTGGGCAGGGCTGCCGTTACGTACAGTCTACTTAGAGTGCTCTCTGGTATATACCACGCATCTCGCCGGTGGCACACGCAGCGTGTTAAAACTTAATCAGAAGTCGGTAGCCGCGCGGACAGACTCGAGGGAGAAGACGAGAGACGTTTGATTCGTAACGCGGAAGGTACACACGAGTGTTTTTGATTGGGGAGCGCGACTCGAGGTCCTTCGACGAAACGCGATAAAAGTGATGAATTCTCATAGAGATGTTCTGTGATACACGCGGGTTAACACATATATAAACATTTATTTAAAACTTTAATTAAGATTGTAACTCTAATTAATTCTGAAAAAGATAATGCACAAAAGTGTTCGAATTATTCGAAACAATGCTGTCCGGATGAAAAAAAAATCAACGTATTGAAACAATATATACGATATAATTCTGGAAATTTTGATAAATTTTAAGAATTTTAGTTATTTAATTAGTGACACGAGGCAAGACAATAATAGAACTTTATTGAGCAATAAAACTCGAAACTGTTTCATTTGTGTTTCTTAAAAAATACTAAAAAAACTATTTATTCGCTAAAATTTATTCGCATAAAATTTCGCTCATGTAATAAGCTGTTGCATTAATTTTTCTTCTGTAGATACAAAAATGGAACGATTTGCACGCTATTGCGTATGTTTGGCTGTAGTACTGACGGTGGTCTCCGCGAGATCCGCCGATACTAATCCCACATCCAATTCCATCAACGAACAGCAAACTGCAAGGTCGAGTGGCACCGGTGTCTTCGGCGAGTTGCGTTACGTCTATCAGATATACAAGGAATGTTCCAATGCGGAACTGAGTCCTTGTCTGAAGTTAAAACTCTTGTCGGCCATCGACAGGGTCTCTCGAAGTGCGCAGGTGAATGTGGCCGAAGGAGTAACTCTGATTCGCGACGAATCAGCCGCCAACGAATCCGAGCCGGAAAAATCGCTGCAGGAAATCGAAGCTAGTTTACCGCGAGCGCTGGAGGATAAGGAAGACACTCTCAACGGCATGATCTTCGACAAGATCATCAACTTCTTCCAGAGTCACACTCTGAAGCTGAAGTTACCAAATGTGGAAGAACTTCAGCGCAGTCTTACCGAAGAAGGTAAAAATCTAAATTGTCGCATTAACACAACGCTCACACAATTTTTTAAAAACACAAATTAAAAAACTTAAGTACCTAATATTTATTTCATTTTATTATTTATTAGAATTTTTTTTTATTGAACAAGTAATAGATCTCTCTTTTTAATTCGCGTTATCTCTTCTCTAGGTCGTAAGAAGAAAAACAAAATGGGCGGTCTTCTGGCCATCCCTCTGTTAATTGGCGGTACGTTGGTACCTCTGGCACTCGGCGCTCTCGCGCTTCTGGCCGGCAAAGCGCTGATAGTGAGCAAACTCGCGCTGGTCCTCGCTTCCATCATCGGTTTGAAGAAACTCGTGTCCGGCGGTCACGATCACGGACACGAGGTAGTTCAAGTCGGGGGAGGACACGGATCGAGCGGATGGGCGAGGTCGGGGCACGAAATGGCCTACTCCGCGTACAAACCACCGTCAACTTAGGAAAATAATTTTTTGCCAACATCATTCTTTCTCATCGTTCTTATTCTTTTCGCATAAATGTTCTTTTCCCTTCTCACTTTTCGCGTAAAAAAACTCTCTTATTTATTTCCATCTTGTGAATAATCTTCTCCGAACTTCTCTCTTCGGCAATTCTTTTTCACATCAATATACACCTTCTCGTTCTTCTCCCATCTGTGTTCACCTTGAATCAACGCACATACGAGATCGGTCGTGCACGGATCATTTTATTCAGTATTTATTATTTCACGTACAGACTGCTGCGACACGCTCGTCGCCGCGCAAACACCATATATGTAACTGTATATTTATATAAATACGCAAATAAATTAAGATTATTATTATCAAATACGTGTGTGTGTATATGTCTACATTATTTCGCCTTCGAGATTTCATTAATAAATCCATGAATGAAATTTGCGTGTCTGATTATACGCGAGTGGCTAATTATTCCGAAATCTCGATATGTATTAGTCGGAGTTATAATCTTATATTCAGCACTCGCGCGCGTGCTGAAATGCCAGCGTCGTGTCTTCGCTTCGATTGTGAGATGCTTAAAATTCGGGTGAAACTAACGGAAGTCGCCGCTATAATCGTAGTGCGAGAAGGAGAAGGCAACGAGATAAAGAGAGAGAGCGAGAAAGAGAAAGAGCGAAACACATGGAAGAATCGGGAGTGAGAAAGAGACGAGAGAACAGCCGAGGCATGCAAAGGAACTGGAGCCTGACCGACTGATGGCCCGTCGATTCGGGACTCGATCGAAAGTAAGGCTCAACGAGATGTGACGAACGATGAGATAGGAGAGATGCGAGAGGCAGAGATACAAGACAGAGAAAGGCTTTTATAGCCACATGAATCGAGTATATAGGATTGGTCGCGATTACTCGACATCTCTCGATGCTAGACAATCAAAGACATACACACGTCTTCGAGCTTCCGCTTGTCTCTCTCTCTCTCTCTCTCTCTCTTTCTCTCTTTCTGTCTGTTTTTCTCAGAGAGAGAGAGAGAGAGAGACATGTTGTGAGCAACAGCGAGCAACAGGACAAGATGACGATGGTATACACAGAGAGAAAGAGCAGCATCACCTACATACGAGAAACGCACGAATGAAACCTGACGTGTTCGCGCGCACCTTACGCACTTGTTCGACTCTCGATCCGTCCGCGTATTCGGCGGTGTGCGTATTCGAGCGTGTAAACGCGCCGCGCGGCTTGTCTGCGTGTACGTAGGACGCGCGGACCAGTCCGAAGTGGACACACACTCCAAGGGGAAGTAAACCAGGCCGAGCAGACCGATCAGGCCAGTCAGCATCCGCGCGCGATCTTTTGAAGGTGCGTCTAACACTCTCTACCGTGTCGAAGAAAAAGTCGATGTCTCCTGGTCCCTTCTCCCCCACCTCTCTCCCGGTGTCTCACAAAGTCCACGTTCCTTTTTCCGTCTCTCTTCTTTCTGACCGGTCGTTCTTTCTCTGTCTCTCACGCCCGAAGATTCGTCCGATCTTCTCGAGAACTCGGCGACCAGGTGATCCGGCGCGTTCCTGATACGCGCCCTTCCATGTTCGAGTTACAAAAGTTACCTCAATAATCCCTCGCATTCTTTTCTTCATCGTTTTTATTGTCGCTAGAACGTTAATATTGCTGTTTGCGCATTACGGACCGAGAATATCGTCTTTCTTTTTTAATTTTTTTGATTGCGTTCCCATACTCGAGTTTATTTCTAGAATTTGCTGCTGCGTGCATTGCTGTGCGCAACAACAAATATAGATGTTTTGAACCGGACAAAGAGAATGTTATGTAGGTCGGTGCGCGAGAATTAGCACCGAGTTTATGTTAAGCACAAATTTATTCACGTGAAAGTACTAATATCGCTACTTTCTTTGGTGCGGCGTAAACAATTTAGAACAAAGAATACCCGTATATTTGCGGTATATCGCGCGCGCGTGCGCTTGCGCTGTCATTGTAAGGTAGTTATTAACTATTATTAACTATTCTGTTAATGAGTTGTTCGTGCTACCTGGTCTTCTCGCCGTTCACGTGTTTCGAGGAGTGTATCATTCCGACGCGGTTGCTTCCCGTTCATTCATTCGTGCGGTTTCATTCCTTTTTTAATGCCTCGCCTCGCCTTTTCTTAATGAACCGTAGGCAGGGAGGAGCTGATTGCTAGGCGAGATCCTGCGGAATCGCGCGTATGAGTGCGATCGAAAAAAAAAAAAAAAAAAGAAGAGGCGATGAAGGAAGGTGAAAACTTTCATTTCGTTCATTCACGCCGGCAAAAGATGCGGAATGTTCTTCTTTTTCTCTCTTTTCTTTTACTCCATATTTCTTGTATTTCACATGTTTAAAGAAAGTCAAGATGGATCAATACCCGCGTAAGGACATGTATAAAGCAAATAACGGTTGCACAAATCACACGTTTACGAGTATATTTCTTTTACCTTTTGCATACCCCGTATTATAATCCGAAAGCAAAAAAGAACGCTCTGATAATCCGCGTAATGGATAAATATAAACGAGGAAACGAGTTTTCGTCCTGTGTAAGCGTAGACCTTATCTCTCGCTTTTGGCGCACTACTTTGCCGCGTTATCCGCTTCCCGTTTCGTAAGCGCGGCTACGAAGAAGAATTGTTCGCGGAACGCGAACGGAACGAGAAGAAACAGTAAGACAAAGCGAGAAACGGAGACACAAAGGGAGACACGCAGAACAGGCAGCAGAGCGAGAACTCAGGTACGAAGGCTTCACTTCGTGGGGGCCTTGACCTGACCTCGATCCTCGGACGAGTTCACTCTCGCCGGCGTCAACGAGAGGAAAGTGTTCCATCACCAGGAACGCGCATGGCTGCCACCCGACTCGATGTACCATCCGGATTTAGCGTCTTAGTTTTGCGATATTATATGTATCCGCTATATATAATATAGAATCTATGAGAGAGAACGGTATAAAACTTTCGCATTTGTTTATCCCGAAAGAAGATACGCCGATGCGTCCGCATACATATCAACCGGAATCCGATTCGCGAAGAGAATAAAAATGTTTCTCGTGCGATAAGCTGAGAAAAAAATTGTGGAAACAAAGTGAAAGTTTCATGAGACGCGTGTTACGTGTTTCATTGTGAGAGATTGCTAACAATACTATATTATGCTAAGAAAAGAGAAAGATTAATAATTTATTAGAAAAATATATATACACAGTATTTATACGGAAAAAATTTAGATTTTGTAAATCAAAAATCAAAATCGACTTCGATGCCACAGATTTATTGATGGTCCATAGTTAGTTGCGGCAAATCAAACTCGGAACCGAGATAAACAACTCATTTGATGCCAGAGACGTTTTGACTCATCAAACTCGATTTTGATTTGTTAATTTTATTTACATTTGAAAAAGATCTGTTCTTTATTGTATTTATATTTTGTTATAACTACGTATATTGTGTGTTTAAATATAAAAATAAGAAATATCTTATGTCATTGTATATATTAAAATATAAATACTAACATATATCAAAGAAGTCTCAGAATAAATACATTTCAAACAAAAATGTTGTTCCATTATTTAGCAAATATCATTTTAATATTCTTCTCGTGTTCTCGTCGCGACTCGTTCTTTTATCTTTCTTAAGAGAGAAAGCTTAAGTGCTAGCGTTTAGATAACTCGCGTGCTAAAATTATTCGAAAAGTCACGTGTTCAGTCGGCGCAGAGATTTTCGTTCGAATCATCATCTTCTCGAGCTTGAAGCGCGGAGAAAGTCAGTCTGGCAGTTCGAGTTCTGTGCTTTTGCCGTGCCGGCAGTTATAATGAAACACTTTTGAGTATATACGTCTTCTCCCTTTTGCCATCTTTTTTTTTTTTTTTCTATCTAAAAAGCCCGCGGGTCACAGCGATATACCATGGTCACAGGTGACGCGCGATATACCATGTGAGGCGAGGCACGGTCTGCCTGTCCTTCTGAACGGCCGAAGCCTGGCTTAGGCCCAACTCGCACACATGATCGAAACCGTGCGATGCGTGCACACACATTCCATGTGAAAACACCGTTAAACGTTCCGCGCGACAGCCATCGGAATACATTAATTTCAAAGCCTATTGACTATAGTCGTATGGTATCGATCGAAGTAGTTGATGTCGAAGAGAAGACGATCTTAACGAACACCTTTTGATTAGGATTTAATACGATGAATGGGTCAGAACGTGAAAAGAGAAAAAGAAAACCAAACGAGAGGAGTAAAACGAGGCGAGAGCGGAATGGAGTATCGAATATACGGGAATACAGTGCCACGTGATGTTTAATCCGAGAATAACTGTTAGTAGCGAAATTTGGGACATCTTATTAGAAGATGTACGTTGGATCTAAAATTATGCTAAAAAATGCCGAAACCCAGATTACCGGTGAGGTTTTTCGGGGGGGGGCGTCGTCGCGGGAAAAGGAACGTCTCGGGAATGTCACAATCTTGGGAGGATAACGAATCGCGTCGTAAGAAGTTAATCGCAAGACGTTTTATGCACATCGTCGGATTACGTTTATAGGCACGTTGGAAAGTTATATGGAGGCGTAAGAAGCATCATTTATGTGCTGATATATAGTGAGCACCCGGTGTAATATACCTTGTCGAAAGCGAAATCATAAGACAACTCTTATATATTCTGAGTACCTGGCCCAAGTATACCACTTCATTCCGCGACACGAGATCTTTTGTAAATTGCGTCACGATATTTTTCGAACAATTGTCACGAATCGCTTGCGAGGCTTAAATCTCGAAATGCATTATTATTTATCAGACATGTGTAATTTCTACTCTCGCGAAAGAAAAGAAATTTAATTTAATAATAAAATAAACACAGACGCTTCCCTAAATCCTGTATGTAGAAACTAATTATGACAGAAGAGCTATTCAACAAGTCATTCCAAGAGCCATTCAGAGAGAGTAGACTATGTCAAATAAATTCACATGCTATCGCAGATTATTCATCTTCAATGCATAGCGTCGCACATGTGTCTCTCTTTGAAAGTTCTTGACAAGTAGGCAATTCCTGTCGCAGCTGCTGTACCCTCACCAGAATAATATTTAGCATGCAAACGATAAACGTAACACCTGAATCTTTTAGGAAAATAGTTTCGCGTCAAATTTCCGGTGATTATTTGCACAGTGACTGGGGTGCGATAAAAATTACATTCGATAACGGATAAACAAATGTTTACGATACAAACGACGATCGAACAAATACGTTTTCCTTCGGATATTACCGAGGAAACATTCATATTTTCACCTTCTTACCGTTTGGTATCGGTACTTCTCGGTGCCTTTGACCCGCGCCGAAACGTCTCTTTGGTTTTCGATCGCGGTCCGATCTTGTCCAGAGGAAGAGAGGCCAGTGGTGCGTAGGCACACATCATCTTTCTCTCGTTTTTTCTCTCTTCTTTCCTTCTCCTTTCCGTCTCCGCGTTCTCTCTGTCTCTCTGTCTCTCTGTCTCTCTTTCTCTCTCTCTCTCTCTCTCTCTCTCTTTCTCTCGAGCATGAGTGTGTGTGCGTGCGCGCGCGCTCGCTCGCACTTACGCACACGCCGCACGGGGCGGGTTCGTCGGGTGGCCAACACACCCGTTGTGTACACAAATGACCTAAGTAAGTAGGCACACACAGGCACACACACGAAAGAGAGAAGAGACCGATGGAGAAGGACCAGGCCGGTGTGTGTAGAAGCGCGTCAACGAGATACGCACACGACACGAACGGAACACGACCGCCTGAAGGAGAACCAATAGCTCGTACGGATTGTAACCCCGGCGGGGACCAATACTCGGTGGGGGCCATCAAAATTTCAAAAACGTACGCGGGCCCCTTTCGCGCTTTCGCGATGAGGATAAAAGGCAGCAATCGCGATTCTTTCGGACAGTATAGATACGATCGCCGTACTCGTTCGAGCGTTCGACGTGCGAGAAAACGGAATAAGAGAGCAAGAAGAGGAATTCGCGAGGAAGCGCGAGAAGTGAAGATCGGTCTCAAGTGCACTCGTCTCGTCCGGAAGATCCGCAAGAATTATTAACGTCAACCATGTTCAAACTCGCGATATTCAGCGCTCTCTTCGTGGTGTCGACCTTCGCTGCACCGATGTCGGACGACGCGGCCGCAGCGCCGTCACCCTCGCTCTTTGAGGAAGCCTACAACTTATACGCTTCTTGTTCCGGAGAATCGAGCATGGCGGTGTGTCTCAAACTGAAGGCTCTGAGTTACGTCGACCGAGTCGCTCGCTCGGCCGACATCGAAGTCATTGACGGTTTCAAGATTGTGCAGACCGAGGAGGCCAAGAACAGGTAAGGAACACATCGAGGATTTATTTGGGATAGTGATCGGATAAATCGCGATGACTGATTATCGAAAAGATAGTCGGCGACGAATCGAGTGAAAACGTGAGACACGCGGCAATATGATTGATGTGGTGAATGAAAATCGTATATACGAAATATATTTCTGCGCTTATTGTTACGTTCAAGTGCGCAAGATAATTGTATATAGTACGTAAGAGAAGCTGTCATTGTTCCATAAACAGTGAAATTCAGTCCACTCCGGTTAGAGAGAATTAGACTCTCACTTCATTACTTCTCTAACGAGCAAAAGATGTAACGAGACCGGTACTTTACTCCGTTGAAAAACTTGATCATCGTAAAATTAGCATTAGAAAGTTGCTAATGTACTATGGAAGATACGTTTATGCAAATGAATTAGCGAAGTAGTGATAAGCGGACGGGTTTTTTGTTTTTACAGCCAAGCTGATGCAAGATCTCTCAATGATATTGAAAGTACCTTACCTGCTGAGGCCGACGCCAAAGAGACAGCAATCGACCAGGCTCTTGTCGATAGAGCTGCCAAGTTCTTGTCCACGCACACCGTTGAGTTGAGTCTTCCCGAGGACGTCTCTCGCTCCTTCGATGAAGGTAAAGTGACTTGAAAACGAGAGTTTTCTCAAATTACGATTTTATGAATTTTTCAAGTTTGTTTTTTTTTTGCAGAAAAATCGCAAAACCAATCAAAACGTTTATATTTCGGGATTATGTTTCAGCTCGCGGTAAAAAGAAGAAGATCGTCAAATCCCTGCTGCCCATTCTTCTGCTTCTGAAACTGAAGGCCGCCGCTCTTATTCCAATCGCTCTCGGTGCCTTGGCTCTGATCGCGTTCAAGGCCCTCGTCATTGGCAAAATCGCTCTCATCATCAGCTTGATCATCGGTCTGCAGAAACTTCTTGCTCACAAACACACAAGCTACGACGTCGTCGCTCACCCCGTTCACGACTACGGACACGACGTTCACCATGACCACCACGGCTGGGCGAGATCGGCGGTAGCTTCTGATCTCGCGTATAAAGCGTACAAACCCTCTCAATAGCTCAATGTCGTGTACAACCTCTCTTTCTTCTAACTTTCTACCTTTATTCGCCAAAGTGATTGTCCCTAACCCGGCGATCACCTGAGGGCGGCGTGGCTCGGCTTCTCAGGGATCCAAGCAAGTTCAGCTCAACAACAAAGACGCCGATGCGAACGATCGGACTGATCGAATTCTACGCGGACAAATGACTGTTAGACGTAGTAGACAACGAGCTCTGGATTTTTGTAAAAAAAAAAAAAAAAAAAAGGATTTATCGACAGTGACTTGATGACTCGACGAAGCTGACAAAATCGACGGGGATGTCACATTGACGTGGAACGAAAAGTTCGATGTACATTCCAACGATTCCTCACTCGACAATGACATGGACTGTGTGTACACAGAGATTATGAGAATCTCAAACTTTCAGTATAATGGAACCTGTCAGAACGAAGACAAAAGTCGCGCCTCCTCGTTCATACTCGTGTGGTATCCTTTCAGAGTCTTTCGTGTCGCGCGCGGAACGGCTCGTAGTCAGTACTCGCACGGGACCACCAGATTTAATCCAATGATTATTTATATATCACCCCGTATTGGGATCATCATGTAACTTATCATGTTATTTATAAATAAATTGTAATTTTTAATATTATAATTCTTTTTTTATAATATTTTAAAACCCGATTGTGATTTTCTTCACATCCAAGTGTTTCCTCGAATATCCTTTCTTAGAAATATTCTTCATTGCAAAAATTACAAATTCTGTTCAACGTAGAATCGCGTATTAACGTGAAACCTGTCGAAAATAAAATTAAATTATTAAACTTAGCAGTTTGAAAATACAACATCTTGTAAAATTAAAAAAAAAGTGATTTTCAAATTTTAAACTTAATGTCAATTGATACAATTTGCGTCTGTAGATATTAAAACAGTCAAGATGTGCTAAGGTCTAGAAATAATTAATACAATTCGATACACGTTTTGTTCAAACGTTTGATCGAACGATGCGAATTATGTTCGTTCCACATTCGCCACGCAAATTCGACAATTATATCTGTGCTACTTGCGTTCCCAATTTTTCTTGTCTAAACCATCAACCCTGTTGTCTCCCATCAATTCGACGATATAACGATCTTCCCGACGCTCCATTCTCCGGCCGACGGAAATTACTCTTCCTCGGGTGCATCCGGTGTATCGACCAAGCGTCAGTATACACGCACGAAATACAAAGTATACTTTCGCTGCTTGTAAAATCTACCGAGTGAAACCAATTGTTCTGTCGTGTGTGAACCACCTTGACGCCTATATAGGTGAGCGTTCGCGGGTGCAGGATGATCAGTAGTTTTACGGGAACCTGTGTCGCTCTGTGTTCTCTCGCGTGCGATATAAAAATCCAAGCTCTATCATTGATCGAAAAACTTAATTGCAGTTAAAAAGAGAACGAAGTTACAACAAAGTTTAAAAATGTGAAAAGTAGATAGACTCATGTTTTGTTTTTTTTTTTTTTTTTTTTTTTTCAGTGTAAATAATATTGTGCCTGTCATCTTGAAACGAGGAAAGCTTAGTGTGTCGTCTACATAGAACGTTTCTTCAATTCGAATCTTATCAACTTTCTTTCTCACACACATTCACGTCCAGTTTCGCTTGAATAAAATTCTATTTGAGACGTGAGAGTAGTTAATTATAACTTCAGGATGAAAAGCGAACTTCGTTATCTGTGTCTGCTGGTTCTCGTGTCCACGAGCATCACGGTGATCATGGGGCCGAAGAATGACGATGACACTCTGGATAACGGACAGTCCTACAGTTTCGGCGAAACTTTCGGCATATGTATGTCGAAGAAACAACACGGCACATTCGAATGCGCGAATCGTGGTATTTTAAGCACTTTACAGTCGTTGAATGACAAAGATAGCTTGAAGGTCGGAAAGATACGGCTAGACAGAGCGGAGGGGTACGGCAGGGACCTGTTGGATTTGGACTACGATCCCAAGGATTTCACGAATATCGTAAAGGCGGCTACCAGATTGATGGAGCGTCGTAATATCAAGTGGAATTTGGATAATCTATATCCCGGATTGCAGATGCGCGTAGGACCAATGTTAAACGGAGACGGAGTGCTAGAATTTGTTCTTAACGAAAGAGTCGCCTCGTTTGGCGATAGACAGTCTGGTCCTGGTGAGCTAGATTTATTTTATTTTAACGCTCGAAAACGTCTCAGCTTTTTGTTACCGTGTATCTATCTTTGACAAATCGTCTTTTGAAATAAAATTGAAAATACAAAGTACGTTCTAATAATATTCTTTTTTCTTTTTCTGTCTTTTTGTTATTGTTATTTATTTAAAATTACTTTTGCGTAACTGACATAACGTAAAAGTTAAGTGACAGCATTACAAACTGATTTCTAAAAAAAAAGTAACGTAAAATTGTAAAAAAAAATTGCTTGAAAAAATTGTTGTTTATTATTACATTAAATTACTTTAGTTGCTCAGCACGGAACCGAACCGTTCTCTCGAGCTTCTTATCTCGGTTAAGAAACGTTGCACCAGCTGTTTCCAGGGACGTTCTCCAGTAGGCAGCACGATCAAGACTATACACTTGATTGGTAAAATTCAAGGTCAAATTCTGTCATTTCAGGAAGACAGCTGACCAAACACGTGTTATTGCCATTTCTCTTGGGTTTTAAATTTAACCTGGCATCACTGATTCCACTTATGTTCGGTTTTCTGCTTATTGTGACCAAAAAGGCCTTATTGCTCACAAAAGTGGCGCTATTTCTCAGCGGTCTCCTGGGATGGAATTCGATCTTTTCCGGTGCCTCAGCGCCTTACGCTCCGAACGGGTTCAATGGCTTTCCCGCATACGGACAAGAAATGCCGCCGGGTATATACTCCCATTACGATCATCACTTCCCGCAACGGCCTTACAAAATGTTGCAGAATTTCGTTCCTTATGATCAGCACGTTATTCGAGAAGTCGTCAACGTTTACGAAGGAGACAGTGATTCGGGACAAGACAGACAAAATACAAAGAAATTCGTTTGGGCTAAAGAGTAACTGAGTGTAACACGCTTTAAAATAATTAATATGTTGACAGAGGAAAATTGTAATTAAACTAAACATTTGTCTTCTAGATCTCGTGTATTGTTCCTTGGATTTTGTTGTATATTTCCTTGGATAAGTTGTAATTATTTTATATTAAATTTCTATTAAAATTTATTATATTAGTATAATGTATAAACATTTAAAAATAAAAACTTTTTTACTAAAATTTTTAATAATGATTAATTTTATGATACGTAAAATTTAATACAATTAATTATATATTTCGCTAAACAACATTACGTAACTTGGCCACAAAAATATTTTCACACAAAAAAATACTTTACACAAGAGTTCCGTTTCATTATAGTAAACAGGTTTTGCAACGTAATTCACGGTATCGAAGCGAATCGAATTAATAAAGAAAGAGGACGTGCGGTATATCGTTCTAGCAGAATGATTACGATCATTTCTTCTCGTCTGTAATGTGCAATAATATTCTTCATTATGAATTTACTGTCGATTTCAAATACCTGACCGCAAGTATGAAGATCGTCACCGTGATCCTGAAATTTTCACTCCGCGATACGTTCATTGTTCTCAAATCTATTATTACATCGTCCTTTCTTTCGGTCGTCTAACTGTACCGCTTCTCTTTCTCTCTTTTTTCTCCTTTCCCCTTTTCCGTCGCTCTTGCCTTACACCATCCGCAGGAACGGTGATTGTTACATCCGGGAAACACATTTACTCGTAAAGGGAAATATACTACCGTGTCTTTACGGTCATGCAAAAACACACACAACGCGTAACATCCTCTGTCAGGTGTAACATCGAACGTGAGGATGCGTCATTTGTATCAGTGCTCGAGAAAGTTTTTTTTATTTTATGTTTCTTTTAAGATATAATTTTGCAGTTTTTTTAAATAAAGAGAAAGATTTAAGAAATCTTAAATATTAAAATTACTTTCGGTTATAACATTGATTGAAAAAAAAAAAAAAAACAATTTGCCTCTAAAATTCTGCACATTTGCAGATGCGAGTTTTGATGACTGAAGAAAACGAGATTCTGGAAGGAAAAGGAAAAAGAGATACTATTTTGGAAAGAAAAGTAATGTTTCTGTTGATAGTGATAATGAGTAATAGGACCGTGACAAAAGCTCGTATTCGCACGTACGCTTTCTTCTTGATAATTACTTTCAGTGTGTGTCATTAAAGTAGGAAAGAGTAAAGTGGATAATAAACACTTGGCCTCATATATAATAATCGATGTCGATGCAACTGGAATTCACCGAGACGACACACGCGGAATTGCAAAAACACGGAACTCTCTCTCTGTGACTATTATGACAAATAGCGCGCAGTTGGAAAAAGTCTTCAGAAATTAAATACACTGAACACACACAGTGGACAGCGTTAATCAAGTCCATTACCGTATAATTGCTCAAGTTGTTTACAGAATGTAGCTCGTCACGGAGCGTAATCTGTGTCAGATTAACAGTATCTTGGCTGCTGCGTTAATAAGTTCTTTGACCTTGATTAGTGTATTGTATAGTGTATTGTACTACACATGTAACAGTTAGACTTTTTTATGTAACAGTTATCTTTTCATGATTTCGACATATAATTATTATAATTATTTAATTGTTCTCAATGTAAATGAATGTTTGTTTTCTTTTTCCTTATTTGCCGAACATCAAAAAAATTGTTCTTTAAACAAAATGCACATTTTTTATGCAGCGTAATGTTTCGTAATTTTTTCGATAATCAATATCGTTATTCTTTTCTCCACTTTTAGGAGAGTAAGATATTATAAGCGTAACATAGTGTGCAAAATAATAGGTATGTAATTTAAATTGATCACATGTTAAGATTCATATCTCACTTTGTATCGTTTAGAAGTAATAAACTCTGGCCAAATTAATTAAAATACCAGCTTTTTATCAGTATAATGAAAACAAATAAACCCGTAATGTAATAACCGTTGTACTCAGACAGCACGCGAGGTTAGCCGTGCATGCAAACTGGCGGATAATTCTACTACGATTTCCATTGGTTTTGCGCTTGCAATCACGTCTGGCCCGAAGAGTATCGTTTCGTTCTACCTGCATTCCGATGTGATCCTAATACGTCGCTATTAACGATAGTTGGCGCGGCGGAGTTTTAAGGCTCGTTTGACAACCAGGTCAGAACAATAGCTACGGGGCTGTACGACATTGTTTAGTTAAGAGAGCCTCTCCTCCCGTTGTTGTAGCGTTAAACAGCGCGTGGATCAGAGCGCGTGTATACTAAGAATTTTAAATGACGTTGGGAAGGAGAGACCACAAATTGGTGCACACTTATATAAGTCAGAATGCGATAGGATTTCTGCGAGTAGTAGTCGGTGAGATTTACTGAGCTGACCAGCTAACCAGAAGCGGAGAAGATACAATAAAATATTACGTACAGGAAGAAGAACGTTAAAAAGAAATAACGGTGGTGGAAACGGCTACAGAACTTCTGGAAACAAAGACAATCGCGTGAATGTCACAGAAGATTACGATGGAAAAGCGGCGTTCAACAATTGGAATTTTATGTTTTCTTTGTCTCGCGATATTCTGCAATGTGGTGATCGCCAAAAGTGAATACGTCAAGCTGTTCGAACGATGCACGAACGAAAAGAACACCTTCGACTGCTTCAAGCGGCGTGCCTTAGAAATACTCGACTCGGCGATCCAGGATGATTCCGTGTACAAAATTAACGATTACATTTCGATAACCAAAGACTCAGACGCGGCGAAGAAATATAATTCGATGATGTCGGAAAATAGCACGGATCTGAGTCTTGATCAGAAATTGGACAACAAGTTTTACGAGTACTTGTCGTCGAGAAGTGTGAAATTAACGATACCAGGAAATGCCTTTGAAGGAAATGCTTTTGAAGGTAACGGCACTTCGGAGTTATTGTTAATAAATTATAGTACTAAAGATAAACTTTAAAAAAGTTTTTAAATTATTCGTCACGTGATAAAAATCATAATCTACAATAATTTATAATCAATATTTCTTTGTGTCAACAAAAAAAACATAAATTGCTGCGAAATATACATAAAGTATAGAAAATATTTATTTTTGAAAGAAAATATAATTAAACATTATTTAAAAAATAAAATATTTAAAATCTTTGCAGGAAGGAAGAAAAAGAAAGGTTATGGGTATCTAATAGTAGCGGGTGCTGTATTAGCAGGTGAGTATTTTTTACGTAAAATGTATAAATATAAATAAAGACGACGATTTTTTTTTGAAAATCGTTCTTATTACATATCTGTTCCCTCACATTTTAACGTTTAAAGTTAAAAAAGTTCAAAAACTAAAAACAATTATTAAGAAAATAAATTTGAACCTTCTGGATTTATTCATGAAATCATCAATTATTTGTTTATCAATTGTTTGTTTTTAGGCATGATGGCTCAACTAGCTTACGGAAAAATAGCATTTCTCGCTGGTACGGCGTTGCTGACAGCGAAGATGGCTTTAGTTTTAAGCGCGATAGTCGGTCTAAAAAAGCTCGTATCGAGCGGAGGTGGTGGACATGAAGTAATTTATGCAACAGCGTCGGAACACCATGGAGGTGGCGGCAGCAGCGGATATGGTGGTGGCGGATATGGCGGTTGGCAACGAGCAATGGAAGTCGTTCCGCCAACTTGAGTTACACTTGATATATAATGTAGAAAAACTTTATGAAATATATAATTTTATAATATATACATATGCTGTAGTTAAGCAACTTTATGATATAGTTAATATGTTCTTTGTTAATATGTATCTGATAAAAACTTCTAGAAATTTCTTCTTTTATTTTATAGTGTGTATTATTTATTATTTATCTAGCTATGTAATAACATTAAATTTCTGTACATTAATTCTCTCGTTTTTAACTTTTATAATGTGTATAATATTGCATGAAAGAAACAGATCACTGCATAATTAAAAAAACATGACTTTTTACTTTGCATAATAAAAATATTTTTTATACTGAAATATCATGTTTTAATAATTATGATTAATTCCATAATAAAGTGTTGACATAAGAATTTGGCATGAATTCTTATCAGTTTAACAATTTTATTTCCGATACATGAATCAGCAGTAATTAAAATGCAAATGTAAATTTAAAATATTGCAAGATACATATATACATACATGGATAAAGATATTTGTAATTTATGATGTATTATAATATATTTTTAACATATATACACAATTTTGTAAAATAAAAACTACTCTGTATTATATCTAAATATTACCAGTTATAAAATTAATCAGTTAAAAATCCTCGAAATATATTTTGTACAAAGAGAAATAAAATATGTACCGGGAGGATATTAGTGAATGATTTATTATTACCCGTATTTGCAAGCTTACACACTAATGATATTGCATAATTTTGAATGTTTGATGTAGTGACAAATCTTTTTACAATATAAGATGTAGCTTGAAATTGAATCTATTTGTGTTCAACATATTTATCTTAGAACGTAATCATATTATGAATATATTACACTTTCAAATCTTTTATAATTTTAATATATAGGTTTTACTATTTATATGTTTTTAAACTATGTAAATATTTTAATGCATGCAAATTGTATAAGATTTGAAAATGTTTTTCACGCATAGTTATACAACGAAAAAGACTTATAGATGGATGCATCTGTATAAACGGTGTTCTACAAGAATTAAATACATTTACATTGGTAACTTTTTTTCTAACATCAAACACTTTAGTAAAACACAGTACGCTTTATAAATAACTTTAAAAATAATTTATATATATTTTATATGTCGGTTATTAGTTATTAAGATACTTGAGATTTATCTCTGTCAAAGAAATGTCGTCGCTTTCGATTTCGATGATTATAGTCCAACTCTTCTCCGTAGTCACTACGATGATCGTAATCGATACTTGAACTATGAGTTTGTACGTAACTAGTATGTGGATGCTTTACTATTTCATAAGAGACACTTTCATGACCTGAAAAAGAATTGAGATTAAATAAAATATCTGATTTAAAGTTTTATGAACACGTCAATATTATATTATATTGTATATTATATTATATTATATTATATTATATTATATTATATTATATTATATTATATTATATATAATATTATACATATTAGGTTTTATTACATATATTATTTTGTTTTAAAGTTGATTTTGAAAAGATTTTTTTAAAAGTACAGAAAATAAAGAGGTTTTTTTTATATACCGTTAAATGTGTTTAAAAGACACGTTTTGCATACAGAAGCAAATTTATTGTTAAATTTGTTGGAAGCAAATCAAATTAGTATAAAATAAAATGTGAAAACAATGTCTGAAGAAGTTAATTTATAAACGTTCACGCCTCAAATATTACATAATTTATAAATGTCACACCTCAATAGTTTCACTTTATTTACTTTATAAAACTTAATCTACCTACCGTATTTACGTACCATTCTTTTTTATAAGTGCAGCAATGGCAATCGCTAAAGCTATTTTGGCAACCAACACTGCCTTTCCTGCAAGAGCTGCGACTCCATGTAAAAGTCCATAAATTAATGCTCCCTTCATAGCCGCAATCATCAAGAATATTATTCTGCCATAACCTTTTTTATTCTTTTTGCCACGAGCAGAAACTAAAATGTAAAATATTTATTAGTACAAGTAATTGTTATTTACTCTAAGAATTTAACTTTAAAATAAATCTTAAAATTTATTATTCACAATTTTATAGTGCGTGTTTGAACACAGTCAGTAAAACTTATATTTTTTATTTCTATAATTTCTTTTAGTTGTTTATTTAGTAGAGTATTTTTCTCTCTTTTTTGTCTAAAATGATGTAAAAGAATTGTTTATTTTATTCAATTATTGTACAACAATTTTGTAAACAGTAAAACAATGTTCTCTCTCACCTTCACTTATCTCTTCATTGTCAGTAAAATGTTTCTTTCTACCGATCCGCGTTTGGTCCCTGCGATTAGACGAAGAAGCAATTGCTGTTCTGTTGATGTTACACGTGGATATGTCACCCTCATTGCCGGCACACTCGTCTACGTCCGAAGTTTGCAGAAGTTTTCTGTTCACGGGCTCGCAAGAACAACTGGCGATAAAACCGCCTAATATCAGACACACGAAGAGTCGCCAAAGCATGTTCGACTAGGACTGGCGTTTTACCGAGATCGTCATATTTATAGATAGCTAGTAATTAGTAGCAATGGCGATGCAAAGTGATGACATACAGAGCGTGAATGCATCTATGGTAAGATGCATCATGCGCGTAAAATTATTCCTACCGGTGCTTGGTGAGGTTCCGTATGTTTCTGCACGCACGTGATAGGTACGACTGACAGAGAGTATTATGCCGTCGTTGTTACAATGTTAAATGGAGTGCGCATGTGAGAGAAATTAAATTTCAGCGATGCGCATCGTGTCGATGTGAATCTCATCCGAAGTAATGCAGATTGTGTGTGCAACGACGTAAACTGGCTCACATGAAAATTCCGATTGTAGCGTAGATACGAATAAAAAAGAAGCAGAGGAATTACAGTAAAAGAAACCAAGAAAATAATGCGCGAAATTGTGTGGGAAAAGAGTAATGTGAAAACAATTTTAAAATTATCGAAATCGAATATCGGCATCAAAGAGTATCTTGGTCAGCGAAAGCTATTTTTACAACATGATGTTATGTTTTGCAGCTTGTAAGAAATGTAAATTTATTGTTATATCAAATAGACCGACAATAGAAACGTTGTTACAGAAAGTAGGGAGTGAAATACATAATTAATTTACATGTTACAATATCGCTTATAATTAACGATTTAAATATAGATTTGATGTACGTACGTTTCCCTTATTACAATAATGTTTTTTATTGCTTTCTAGTTTTATTTACTTATTTTTTCTATTACACTCATGATTAACTCGTCATATTTAAAATGTTTCATTAAAATGTTTACAGTATTTTAATTAAAAATCATTAATCTTTATTATTAGAAATGTCTAATTCCGACGAAACATCATCGAGTTTTACATCAGAATGGAAGAGAAACACCGTTCTGGCTTTATTACTCACGCGACGATTGCATATTAAACGCAGGCGCGAGCTACGAATTAAAAAGGTAAGTAGATTGTCACCAAGTGAATGAGAATAAGCTTTTCACTTGTTCCCGCTCCCACGATTCTTCCGCATCAGAAAGTGGAGAATAAGGCTTAAAAAGCATGATCTTTTTCTTCGGCGAATGTTTTGTATGCCACTGGGCCAATCGAGCATCCTCGATTCACTACTCAAAGTATGCGAGCCCTCCGAAGGTTACCAGCTACACGTAGAGTGTATTTTCGCATGTAACGAGGAAAGAATGCAGTTTCCGCGCACTTAAGTGTGACTATCGTCTGAAATTTCCTAAACCTCTTCATAAGACGGAGACGTAACTCAAACAATTTCTCAGAAAAAATGTTTTAACATTTTAACGACATTAAAAATATCCGAAGTACGTGACTGTACAGACATATTTTTTTATGTCTGTTGGATAAATTAAATATAATAAAAATTAAATACATTCTCTTATTAAGTATATTTTTTTTTTTTTTTTTTTTTTTATTAAATTGTCGTTTATTATAGAGTTTCATACACGTAGCGCACGAGTCGCGCTCTATCAGTTTTGATAGAACGGTATAAAAAATTGTCGATTTTACTTTATTAAACATAGCGATTTAGTAGTGAGCCCGTATAATAAACCAAGTCAGAACCTTGCGAATCACCAGAACGTGCGAATCACCACCTGTTGCTGATCGTTGACCTGAATCTAATAACAGGCAGAAACGTCCTGGTCTTGTATCTAAAATATCTCCCGCGAAGAAATCACTCATGACGGTTTAACCTATTGCCTCACTTTTATTATTCCGGAAACTTGTTTTCTCTGCTATAACCGGGCTTTTGTGTGTACAGGTATCATTATTATGCAAGTCCCTCTCTAGACTGTCTACTTCTCTATGTTATTTTCTTTGCTTTTGGCGATAAGTATTAAAATTAAACACCAATGGGATCCAATGGGAACGTACCCTAGCTCGGAGCTATCCTAATTTTCGGAAGAAGGAAACGGGCGTTATTGTGCGACCCGATAGTTCAGAAACTATTCTCTCGACGAACTTCCGCAAATTAAACATTGAGAAATGAATGAAATAATTAACGCGATGTCATTAAGATAAATTGTCTGTGCTGAAATGTTCTACTTGTCTACTTTTGCGAACAATCGAAAGTTCACCGCGCGCTCGCGACTTTCGAGACACGCGGTATCAGATAACGTATAATAATCGGAAGTTCCGACCGCGTACTCTACGTAAGCTCATTGCCGGGGAATCCATTTCTCGCGCCGTTCGTGAGAATATAACTGCGCGCACATTCAGAATGTGGCACGGGCCTTAATACAGTTAAACCACGTCTGTGTGTGGACCCGCGCGTCGGCACTGACTATGGGATAATCGCGAAGTAGGCAACACGGAGGATGCATCGTTGGCTGTTGTCGCATTAGAGATGCGCGCTAACCTCGATCGAGTATGTCGACGAATGCGCGCAGCTTCATGGTACTAACGTGATACGACGAGAAAATAGAATACATTGGTCTGAATAGTCGCGAGCTTATATGCGCCGTCAATTCTTACCCGAGGTTCTAAGTGATTCTGCACACGAATTGCCATTTTCTCATTCCTTACACGCAAATTTACATTGATATCTTAAAAGAGAATGATTTTAAACGCAGCTATTCAGAAACAAGTGTCGTTGAACAAAATACGTGTTTCTTATTATTCGTCTGATAAATTGTGAACACGTGACACGAAAACTATACGGTAAAGATATTAATAGTAATTAAAAAGATTAAGTAATTACGTGCCATAAAGCATACAACACACACTCCGTAATATTCATTCACGTTTACATGTGTAATTTCCAATTATTGCTATTATATATAGTGATGCGCGAACACGGCGAGTCGGTTTATGTAAAACACGTCGGAGATTTCGTTCTATATATGTAATCGCACAACGCGATTTGTACAAATACGGAGCGCTACGCAATTACAAATTTACTGTTGCGCAACATTCAAGATCGTATCATCACGAAGAGTGTTACTGTTCTGTTCGTTTCGCTTTACGCATTGCAAAGTCAATAAATCTGGAACGTATCCAGCTGAAAAAAATAAAACCGGCGAGGATAACTTAAATTATTTATATTCTTTTCTATGTTTTTTTGCAATGTATTCTCACTTCTCTTGCTATCTCTTAGAGGGTTGAAAAGTTATGTTATAAAAAACTTGGAGAAAAGAGAAAGAGACTCACGCAACGATTTAAACGTAAATACGCAAATTGTTCATTATCCACGTACGCGAAGTATCATGAGAATGATGTGCCGATGCCAGGGAAAGTAGATCATCCGTGTTGATAATCCTTAGTCATAGCGCGCCGCAGGAAAACTGGCGATAGGAAGGTCACGGGTTGTCCGCAACCTGGAACCAGTTTCTAGCATCTCCACGTTATGTTAGGGGTCAGTGAGATCACGGTGCCAGGTACGCAGCCAATGCAATCCTCTCCTCTGGTCTTCTCTACTTTTGCTTCTCCTCCCGCGCCGGTAAGATACGAATCTCAATGTACATCACGTTGCCGCGCGAGAGACGAATATACATGCACACATACTTGTTTCAATGTACACAACATCCACGGCGAAATTTAATGAACGAATCGCGTGGCGGCGTCGACCAAACACAGCGACGTCTCTCGATCTCGAGAGGCGCGAGTGGGTCTCTGTGTCAGAAGGGGTCACATGCTCATCGCGCTCTACCACCATGAGAACTTCTACCCCCGTCATCCCGCGCGCCCGCCGTAGCAGCTGTCTAGCGCGCTAAAAGAGAAGGAAGGAGGATGAAAGGACGAGAGAGGAGCGTTCGCGAGGGGAAGAGAGAATGGAGAAGAGGATTATCCACTCATACACGTGAGGTCGCGTATCTTCACGTGCACATCCGTCCGTTAATACGACAGAGATATACATCACCCCCTTCGCGAAGAATGGTATCTAGGAGGCTGGCACGACACTCGGTATATATCGGCCCGGAGACTTCGTCCTGACGCCAGTTCTCTCTAGTCGAGGATCATTCAGCTCGTGGATGCGCGCGACTTTTTCGCATCTTCTCGACTAGTCACTTCGGATTTTTGAGTCGCGTGTCTTTCCTCTGCGCGTGATTACAAGAACATAAACGAGGTGTCTGTGTGATTCGGTCAGTACCTTGATATATCGTATACTGATCGATCGTGAGTTTGGAAAGCTTATCGAGAATGTCGGCGTTTAAGAATTTAATCAAGTGGGTGCTGCTGTTGTTAGTCTGCAGTGCAACTGTCCGCGCCGATGAGGACGGATTTCTCGATCGAGGATACCGCGCTCTGTATCGTATCTATGAGGATTGCGAGCACCGCAATATGGCTGTGACGCCGTGTCTGAAGAAGAAGGCGATCGCCTTCTTCGAGAGGCTCGGTCGCATACAGACCTTGCCGATCAGCGAAAATCTCGAGCTGGTGCGAGTCGCGCCCTTGGACGACGGCACGAAAAACACAATGTCCGATCTGGAGAAGACTCTGGCCAGGACCAACGGCGGCGCCACGGACGAGATCCTCAACGAAATCTTGTTCGAACGCGTGGCCGCGCTAATGAACAGCTTCAACGTACAAATCAGCTTACCAAAGACAAGTTCCGGCGAGTTGAAGCGAAGTGTCGAGGAAGGTCGCGGCAAGATGAAGAAGATGATGGGTATGATGATGATGGGGATGGCGATGAAACTCGCCGCTATGGTCCCCATCGCTATGGGCGTGCTTTTCTTGCTGGCGGGCAAGGCTCTGATTATTAGCAAGATTGCCTTGGTGCTGTCGCTCATCATCGGTCTGAAGAAGCTACTGAGCCAGAAGCAAAATGATCATCATGGCGGCGGCTGGCAATCTAGCGGTGGCGGATGGGACAGGAGCTTGAAGGGAGACACACTTGTTTCGTCAATGACGGAAGCCGATCGTGAATATGCGCAGACTCTGGCTTACAGCGCGCGGCAGAAGCACTGAGCAATCAACGGTAATGGAAAAAGGAAGCAACGGGAGCATCTTCGAATATCGGGAGAGAGCAAGGCCTGTATCTAAAGGAGCAAGCTTAGTACGCGATTGCGAAGACAGTTCGAGACACATCGAGAAACAGATTTGATTATTTATTCTTACTGACAAATTAATTTTTGTACTTTGGCAGTTTTGCAATAATGAAGAAAAAAAAGGTGTGTAAAAACAAAATGTATCAGTGACGTTGAGGAAGTAGATAAGTCGTGAAAAAAATATGACTAAAGTTTTTGAAATAAGGATAAAATAGAAAAGAAGTCTATTATATGAACGAACTGTCTCGTCCCGTGTAAATTTTTACAAGTCTGATCGCTTCCTGCGCGTGATTGTTGATACAAAAATAATCAAAATAATTAATATGTCGATCTTTTCTCTGTTTAACGGTGTTCGTTATTAATGACGTAGCTTGCTATTTAATTAACAGAACGGGTATATAATTATACGTGCAACATAACGAAGATATTATTCCCATAATAAAGAAATGTGTACAGGACACAAAACTCGGGTGCAAATCGTTGCAACCGTAAAACAAAAGAAGTTGCAACGACAGGTGTGTGTTTGTACTTCCATCGCCCGGTTGCACCGGCAAATAAACCAGCGAATTGATAGCGAGAGAGAGATCATTTTCGCGCACGCGAGTTTCTAACGGTTACGGTCTCACGTTTTTTCTATTGACAATCGGAACGCGATCAGCCTCGAAGTCGAGCACGAAAAGACTTCATTGTTATATTTATCAGCCGAATTTGCAGTCGTTTCTCAGCACACATAAAGAGTATATTTATATTTATATAACATGCTCACACTTATTTATTTTTAGATTAATAAAATAACCTTAGTTATATGTATGTATACTTTGGAATGTGTAGCTTCCGACAAGTACTTACACTTAATATCTGTAACTATATTAACGTTAACGTTACTAAAAAAAAAAAAAAAACAAAAGAAACAATTGTGCGTCATAAGTTTAACGATTTCAAAACTCGAGTATCGATATATAGCTAATAGAAAATATCAATTTCATTATTTTATAAAAAATCTGTCTCTCTTGATAATTTATTATAACACAATAACTTATATATATATATGTTACAATTTACGTAATATTTATTTTGCAATAATTATAATAAGTGCAAAATTTCTTATATCTTTTATTTACGAAAATATTGAAAAATAATTTGCTTCTCGATGTTTAATAAGTATTTGACGATGCGACGCATTCTACGAGATGTATACGAGATGTACATGCGCGCGTTTGACCCGAGAAGCGATTATAAATTCGGCCTTTAAGCGTTTCTTCTGTGCACACAGGCGCTTGATATTTTCTCAGAGAGATAACACAATAATTAGTTATACATAAATTTACTTCGATTATAAATTATTTTACGAAATAAAGTCATGTATCACTCTCACTTCTTTGTGTATTTTGATGCGCTCCTTTCAAAAATCCTCCTGTCACGTTCTTCTTCTCCCGTTTTTTTTTTTGTTTGTCAATGCACTTTCAATCCAAGTACCGCGGCGAACAACGAGAAAAAGAATCCCGCAAGAAGCGTCGTTCCCTTGAGGAGAATCAAACCTCCGATCAACGTCGGTATCAGAGCTATAAATTTCAGCTTGTACGCCATCAGCAACGCCAACATCGTACGGTCCATTCTTCGTTTCCTATTTCGCGGCCGATCTGAAAAAAAAAAACAAAAGTGTTACGAAAACCATATAAAACATACAAAAACCGTACAAAATACTACGCGCTTTGACATAAGAAATATTCATCAATTAATTTCTCTACCGTTAAGAATGTACTTTAAAAACAAATATATCGACGTACATATATCATATTTCAATAATAAAAGGTGTTATATCAAATAATACCGTTATATAACGGTATTGTTCATCATAATTATCATCACGCTCCATCAAGACGACAATTCGCGAATGTAACGATCGCTACTTCATTTTTTTGTGTCAACGTTTTATACACAGCGCTGGCGTATTGCGCTATAAACGCAACGTCAGCAAGGTATTATGATGCTACTTTTGATTAAGTACCTCGTTCCTCCACTTCGGTCTTGGAATGCACGCCATGTTCGTCCCGAACGTGCCTCCTGTCTTTGGCGATGCGACTATTGGTCGAGGAAATCGGATTTTCTAGCGTGTTATTGCCGTACGCAATATACCTGAGGACCTTCTGACCTAAAGTGACGGCTGTTTCTTTCTCCTGTCGTTTCTCTTGCGGCGATCTCGAATACTCCATCGTCCGGCTGACGCAATTCAAGGTCAGCAGAATCGCGACCAGGTTAACTCTCGACAACATCTTTCCACGCGTTCATGAAGAACGGGCTCGCGCCGGAAATCCACTGGCGGAATCTCTCTACTCGCGGTTTCGTCTTCACGATCTCGGAATCCTTATCTCATTGTCAGAGATCCTTGTCATCATCGCGCATTGATTTGACCAGGTCACAGAACATCCGACTTAATGTCTTTTTGAATTTTTTTAACATCCAAATGAACACTTCCTTCCGCGCGACAGATGGCTGCTCACGAGAGATCGACGCGTGACAACATACCTTCTCGTTGCAAGCCCTCTCGGTTAGCTTTCGTTCCGGATACAGAATTATGATGTCTTTGGCGGAGATCAATTATAATAAATATATAAAGCTAGTGGAAAGAGAGAATGAACGGTGCAACGATCAACCGCGAACTAACCGATCCGCCGTTGATGCCCCGACGACAAACCGGCCGGATACTAGCGTCGTATACGCTTCAGTTGCCGGGAAAATCGACAGTCCGTGAAAAATGAGCAGAGCGACCGGTGAGGCAGCGATATATACGCATACGGCAAACACTATGATCCAAATTGTCAGTACCCGATATATATGTCAGACTATATCGCGGAACGGTATATGGCGGTGGTAGATAAGAAGGTGCCCTCCGGGTGTTGCCACCATATTGTCAAGAGAAAAGGAGTGGAAGACCGAAGCGGCTGGCTTATAGGAACGGAAGTAATCCGCAGGATGCGTTGCCGTTGTTTTGCGACAAACGCGAATTTTTTTTTAGTTACGCCGCGCAGACATCCGGGCCGAAGAGAAATGAATGGTTCTTTTCCGTGTAGGAAATTCCTCGTGTCGTGTCGAATCGCTCGCGTGATTCGATCTCCGGTTTCTCTTATCTCGAGAATCGTTAAATTCGGTTTTTTTTCACGCAATTTTTCATGCACTTTCTTCTTCCACGTATTAATTTCGTATTATAATTGTAAAATTAGTCGACGGCTGTTTTTCTTCGATCGAAAGTCACACGCGATATTTTCACGGGAAAATAAAATTCCTAAAAATAACTGTTGTAGCGTTACTTTTGTTTAGTTCATTCTCGAGTAATTGAAACAATAGGTAGGTTGAGTCTGTAAAAAAATCGTATTATTTTGTTTCACTTCACTTCATTCGCTTTTTTTTTTTTTTTTTAATTCTGTGTTACTCTGCGAATCATATTTTCTATAAAATATCAATTTGCCTTTTTCGTCGGAGCGTCTTGCTCTCTTAACAGGTCGTCGCGGACTGCGCCGCACCCTACCTTCCGCTACATATTTATCTGAAGCATCGAAAATAGTCGAAAACATGCAGTTCCGCCCAAGTGCGCGCTAAGATGTTGCGCGCATCGCAACCCAGCAATACAAATGAGCGTCCGACCCGCGGGATAAGAAATTAGAAATCTACGCGTACGTGCCGTGAGATCCCAAATGATGATTTTGATGATCCTGACTGGGATTCATTTTTTTTTTTCGGTCACGCCCGTCAAACACGTCGGGTTATTGCGCTAATAATCCACGGCAACTTCAAATGATCCTTGCAACTCTCGAGGCTGTTATCTTCTTGCTGCGTTTAACGCACCAGTTTACGCGTATCTAGGTATATAGGTTCGGATCTGCGGGCATTTTTTTCTCTCTCTCTCTTTCTCGCCTAGTCACTTTCTATTTATGATAACGCGAGAATATTGGCATGTCAGTTTTGTCGTAATAAGAATATTGTAATGATGTGGTTAAAACCGGTTTAATAGATGTTTTGTTTTGTTTTGTTTTGTTTTTTAACGCGATTGAACGTTTAAAAATAACTTTATAAGGTAACGCAACATTGAGATTCAAATAAGACAGAGATCGTATAATCAAAACTTATCTACGGAGTGTTAAAGTGATTTGTTCTCTTGCTCGCAATACGTGGGTCGAAGCTTACACGATAAATTCGTATAATTTTGCTTATTTGAACGAGATAGAAGCTAATGCGCTTTAATGCCCGCTAAGCTGCGAAAAAAGCGGTGAAATGATAATAACTCGCTGAATAATTAAGACAAAGGCGAAATAATATACATCGGATCGCTCGCGCACGAGATTGATGAAACAAAGCGTTGCGTATAGCGTGAAACATGCCCATTTTGTTCTAATGATTAATGACACGGTCGTAAAACGCTTTCAGCAATCATCACCGTTCTTATCTGCTCTGAAAATCACGCGTATTCGCACGCGCACTTGTGTGTTGTCGAACCAATATTTAGCAGCTATTATCACGTGTGTATACTCTCGCCGCAACTTTCCTCATACTCGGATAATATCTCGCATCGGAGCAATTTCACGTACAGTAAACCTATATATTTACAATCGCAGAGAATCTGCATGCACTGATTACGCACCGATATTGAAATCGTCTTCTTTTTTTTGACGCATTGACCTCGTCTCGCTAATGGAAGTTATTTTTAGCCGTTGAAAACATTTGTTTTGTTTTGTTTTTTTTTTGTTTCAACTTAAGTTATAATCTTCATTGCCCTTAAAATTATATTACAAATTACCTGTTTGAACAGAAATAGCAACAGCATCATTAGTCGAATCCTTCGTGTATGAAGCCGGCAACCCACATATCGGTACGGTAGTTTTATTCATGTGCCACCTAGGACATATTATGTATTACGGATTCGCGGAAAAGAAGTAAGGGATAATTTGACTGCTTCCTTCTCGAACTTGAACTCTCAAATGACAATGGTCGCGTTGAACAGAGAGAACACACCGGAAGGTGAAATAAGGAAGATGAGCACGTTGCGAGAGTGCTTCTCTCGCTACGCACGTTGAATCACTATTGTCGTGTGTTACCGTTAGTTTTCTACAGCTGCAACACTGTAAGATAACTTTTAAGTAAAATACCGTGAGTGTTTAGTCGAGTTTTTTGAGTGCGGAATTACACACCTGTGTATAATATTTTATATATACTTACGTGCGGACATAAGTTTTAAGATAAATGAACGACGCGAAGACATCTGTCATTGATGAGACTAAAACTGACATTACATAATTATCGTAAATTTTATTATAAGCGTAATAGATATATCATTTGTCAGTCCTACTTACATGTAAAACTGTTATTACTGTATTATATTGCCGCTGGCCGTAGCAATTTTCGCGAATAACGGATGCTCCCCAGAAGAGAAATTTGTCATTAGCGACATATAATTCGATTTGTAAAAAAAAAAAAATGTATATATATAACCTCGTTCCAAATATTCAAATTATAAAATAGTTTATACACTACACTTAAGCGCGCTAGAAAAAAGTGGGACACGCAAAACATATTAAGTTTCAGAAAATTCTCTGAAATATGATCTGAATAATATGATCTGAATAAAAATGAGCTATTCTCTGACAGTTCACTCGATTTTATTAAGTTGTTTTTTCATTCAGATAAATTCGTTTTTGCGATTATAACAAATGATGCTTACAATTTGTATATCTTGCGCAATAAAACGGCTATTCGTATGCCACTATAATTTGCATACTGTTCAGCGTGTGACATATCTCGATATTTCATTTTTCCAATTCCATTACCATCAATCTCTTCATAGCTGAGCAGCAGCGTAACATCGACGAAGCAACAATTTGTCTAAACGCCGTTTATCAAATTTCAACTGATTCATCGACATGACGTCTGGATTCGCTTTCGGTAATATACCTATTAGCTTGATTTGCATTACCTCTGGTTTACTTTTCCGCGACAAACAGGCCGTAGGACGCGTCGTCGTCGAATGGGGAACGTCTTCGTGCCGCGGCTGCTCGAGTGTGAAACGAACTCAATTGATAATGGACGTCGCGGCACTCTCACGACGAAAGACAATAACGACAAAGACGTTTGGACGAGGAGAACGATCTACTTTGCCCCGGACGAAATGTTTCAGGGAAGATTCCTTCGAGAGCGATCAGCGTCGCACCGACGTCCAATGATCGAGGTAGAGCAGCTCGGGAGGTACGGGAGTGGACGTTGGATCCTTCGTCACGCATCAGTACCAAGTTAGATAGGTAGTCTCCTTCTCTGAGCTTTTCACGGACCCGGTATATAAACTAATGGTTCGGTCTCGCAAGAATGTCAGTTAACGTATTATTGGCGAAGAAGTTGGTCGCGATTGCAAGATACGCAAAGTTTTTGGGCTTATCCAGCGAGTGGTGTGTTGGGAAAACGTACGAAAAAGAAAAGAAACGAACTCTCCAGATGATAGAAAGATGTTATCGTTGTACGTGCTGCTTTTTCTGTCAATACTCGTTACAGCACAGGGATCGCAATCATCAGTGACAAAGACGGACCGAGAAACGCTGAAGAAAGATGCCTCTAAAAACACATTAGATTGGATTGGTGAAAGCTTCTTAAATGCCGTTGACGCACTTTACCCCGCTTCGAGATCGTGTGGTGATGTGGAAGGTACACTGATAACAGTAAATATTTGTGGATAGACGTGGCTCGTGAGGCAACTTTTTTCTTTCTCCTAATTGCTGCATGTTGATAAAAAAAGATTTTAATATTATTTTATATTCTATATAGGTCAAACATTATAGTAGGTTTTGTATGTTGTCTATATTTACTTAAAACAATATTTACATTTATATGTTTTACAAGCAATTAAGAATATTGAAGTGATGCTTGTAAAAAGATAAAAACACACTGTTGTCAAATCTTACAATATCGCAAATATTTCACTTTTAGTCGTTGTATAAATTATTCATTACTTTTATGAACTATAAGAATATAAGACAAATTAAAGACACATACAGGACAATATAGAATTTACAGTTATAGAAGACGCGAAACGTAAAAACTGAATAGAGCAAATTTTTATCGTGGCATTTCAGTCTCAATTGTTAAGACTAAATAAATATTCGTAAAAAAAGAATTGCGAGATCGCGTGTTAATCAAATGCCGTTAAAGGAGCGTGTAATTGCGCTCTTTTAATGGACGTGTTATTCATTACGTTGTAATGCTTTTACGGGGTTACGGAACCCGCCGATACAAAAACATAAGTGCTTTCTACTCTAATTCATCTTATTAACTTCCGTGACGATCGTGCCTAATAAGTGAAGCACACTTCAATGAAGATCGATGTGTACATCCTGCTATTTAAACATCGTCTTTTTTAATATACTTCAATATTTTGTTTTTTACTTAGCCAGTATGTTTAATAGAACGTTACTGTAATGTAATGTAATGAATTATCTACGTGACACGTGATGTCAAGTGGAAACATGATTCTTTACCGTATGTTTTAATAATGTAACGAAGCATCGAAAAATCGTATAAATTTCACACATACAGATGTATGATGAAAATTGTCATTAATTACAGGGCGTAAAAAGAAATACAAACTGAACAAATACATTCTGCCCATGATCATCGGATTTATATTGATAAAATCAATTCTACTGCCCATCACACTAAAGGCACTGGCTGTTCTAAGTGGAAAAGCCGTTGTGCTGAGTTTGATGAGCCTGATACTGGCGGCCATAGTTGGATTAAAGAAGGTCGCTCACAAGGAAGACAGCTATGACAAGCACAGACGGCAGGACACATTCGATTTAATGGGCGAGATACAGGAATTCGAGCCTTATAGACTGTACAAAGAACGACGTAGAAAGAAATGAAAAAATTAATAGTTACAGATTTTGGATAATGTATTTTGGTTCCTCGAATTTTTTCTATATTCTAACTTTAATTTATTTAGAATTTTATAACTTTAGATATATATATACAAGAGGAAAACTGTAAGTTCCACGAGTAAGAAAAGATTAATTTCTTCGATTTATTAGTACTACAAATAAGGTTTTTTTATCAATTCTATTTATTTACTTTTACCGTCTAAGCGTAGAAAATCGTGAATAATAAGGTGAAGATCAGACATTGTAAATATATGATAAAGTAAATATATGATAAACATAATATATTTGCATATATCTCTATTACCGAACAGATCAACCATGTCAGCGCGAAAGTTCGAGTTAACATTAATTTCGTCAATGAAAGAGAATTTCACACAACAGTTGTGTTAAATGCTTGTAACTGTAGTGATTGAAATCACGCTAAATGACATACATTCGTGAAAGCAAACGACAGTGAAGCTTGCAAACAGAAATTTTTGTCACACGATGTTATAAATAGATGTAGTTTATTTATATATAACATATAGTTGTATATGTATTTATTTATTTGTATAATTATATATTTATTTATTTATTACGTAACAAAATTGTTCTTGAGATGAGTCATCTGAATGCATTCCGAACTCATTTTACCGATATGATGTAAGAAAGAGAGAAAGTTTTGTTCAAGAAGAACTAGTTTGTAAACAGGATATCCTCGTCGTTGCAACTATACATAAAAGCTAGATTATTCAACCGTGTAGAAATAAATGTGTCTTTAATAACAATTTAAATACGAACCATGTATAAATTTTTTGTTAAATAAAAATACAAAACATTTTTGTAACGCATCTGATAATTTTCTGAAAAAAAAAACTTGTTGTTCTCAATTGTCACAAAAGGAATTTGTCATTTATTATGATGTGTAAGACACATTACTATTTGTGCTATAAAGATGTTAACGTGAACAATATCTCGTACAGAAAATGAGAGAAAGCTAGAAAGAAATCTTCAATAATTCACTCAAAGAACAAAACGAGAAAAAAAAATAAGATAACAGAGAGTCTGTGACCCGAATATAGGTCGCTGGCTCTCTACATCTCTAATATACTTCGAAATACCCTTAAAGGGTTTCTCTGTTCTATAATCACCTCTCATCTTTCGATTTAAAAAAAACTTGTGCGTATGTAAACTGTGCGCGATCCTCGATATCATTTATCTTAGTGACCGCACGAGCAAATAAAATGTAATTACTGATTTTTTGTATTGCGACAAATAAATAAATTTACTAAGAAACGCATTTCGTTTCCATTACGAATACATACATAAACCGTCCTACGCGAATTTTCCGAAATAATCGCATCCGTCGTTCTATCAGTATCCACTATTTGTACAATGATATTCGTAACCCAGAAAATTAATCGCAAAACTGTCTCCGTACTTATACCAGGCCGAATACCGTTAAACGAAGATGACGAAGTCTCTGCTCGTACCTGTTAAATATTTAAACGAGATTCTTATGGCGCGAAAACAATGGAATACCACCCGCGAATTGATTACCTGTTACCTTTTCGAACGTTTCTCTACTCAAAAAACAACATTGGCGACGCGCGTTTCTTTATTGTTTCGCGATGACACCGATTTCTTTGGATCTTCCACTATTACATATTTATTAACGTGAAATTATCAATGTGTCGAAGTGATGAGTTAACACGGGGAAAAGTTACACACGCGGTCAATGCGAATCAACTATTAGTTTTCTATCTTACAGCGAAAGTCCGTAACACTTACGTAACTAATTTTAGAATGAATTCGCATAAATGATATTATTATTTTGCCTTACGTATGAGAGCAATAAGATAAATACACTCGTAAAGGCGAAAGTTCAACGAGTAAAAACTTTTATTAGCCAGAGTTAAATCAGAAAACCCGTCGAAGATGTAATCCTGTAGTTCACGTGTTACCGAACGTGTCTCTGGGTCAAGGTAAGCGACTCGATGCACGTGGTTATACACGGGAATGCACCGACTCATTCCAGCAAGGAAATGGACTGTAGGAATACAGATATTTTGATTCCTTCCTTGGAATAATATTTAAATCTAAGTCAATGCCGTGTCAATAATAATTAGACACAGCAATTTATGTTATGCAATTTTTTTTTTTATAAAATACTAAAGCATAAAAATTAAACTATGTTGCACAATACACATCTGTTATGTATTTAAATTCTAAAAAAATATTACTGGAGATTGTCACACATTGAGACATTAAGTGTCGCCTAAATGCACACGCACACATTGATCGTAAGAAAAGCGTATATTCGCGACCCGTTGAATAGCAACAAGGCGCGAAATATATGCGCGCCCGTCATCGCCGTTTGTCGTCGAGTTTCTAAGCCATTTGCGGTAAGTTGAAAAAAACTTAGAAAGTGTCATATGCGTAAAACTGTCATTCTTCAATATTTATTCTACAATTTTGACAAACAAAAAGGAAATTGAGTTATAAGGCAAAGAGAATTTATCGAGCTATGTAACATATTTATTTATTGCAATTGAAAATTTTCCTCCATAGAAATAAATTCTGAAATCTTTAATAAAATTTGCCATTTTTGCTTGTTGAAATACCAAATTATGTGATAGATGTAAAATGTCTCGGTAGGAAGAGCGACTTCTAGACAGGGTCTTCCTTTCAAGTTGATGACACGTTTCTGGCGCGGTCGCGCGTTTGTTTAAAAAATTAACGAAGAAAGTTTTCTGGAGAGGTGGCGTCTACCTGTAATGATGTGTCATTCGTCTCGTCGTCGTCATGCACCTCGTTGTCGGTATCAGAGTGGGGGAATGCCGAGGAGGGTCCTACACCACGCGGTGCACCTATAAAGGTTGAAGCAAACGCAGGGCCAGATCACACTTTGTCCCGAAAATTTTCCAGATTGTAGTTCTGGTCTATCTTCACCGCTGCTGTTCGGTGTATCGTTCGATAAATTAGACTAGTGATTTTACACGAAAAAGATGAAGAGATTGCTGAGTCTTGTACTTGTCGCGTGTGTCGCGGCCGGACCTATGAACGACTCTTTGCAAGATCACAAGAATCTGAATTGTTACGAGCAGAACGAGCTGTTTGGTAGCTGCCTCCTTGTGAAGACTATCAATTATCTTAACAAAGCGGCTCGATCAAACGACATTGGAGTTATTGACGGCGTGACTTTCGTCCGGACCACACCGAGTATGTTTGCATATTTGTTTAATTTTTTAAAACTGTAATATATATATTATATTTAAAAAAAAAAAGAGAAATAGAAAGTTGATTGAAATCTCTCAACGAATTTCAAAAGAAAATTATTGCTATAGTAAACAATTAAACGCACAATAACAAACTAATAAAAACTACAAAGAGATGTTGTCTAAATTTGTTTTGCGTACATTTTTATCAAAATTAGTAAAATGATAGTAGCTTTTTCTCTCTTATCTTCAAATGAACTTATTACAGTCCAAAGCAGAGGCAGAGTTTTAGAGAAGTCCGAAGTGGAGATTATGAATGAGCTACCGAGCGATACCACGAGCAGAGCACTAACACTAATAGACATGCTGAGCAATTCGGCCATCTCTTTCATGAAGAGTCACAGTCTGAAACTCAGCATGCCCAATGAAGGATCGATTTCTCGCGCCCTAATGGAAGGTGAGCAGTCACATTTCTTCCACCTTAATCGAAACATTTTGATTGCGCAATCGCACCACCTTCCCTTGATTATGTCTAGACGATTAACGTCACGGATTCGCGACGTCATAAGTATAAACGAATAAAAGCGCTTCAGTATGCCTTTCACCTTCATGATATCTATATGTACAACGTCAGACCTGTTCCGGATAAACTCGTTCTTAAAGCACACACCACTTATTCTCCTTCGTAAAATGTATTTCACTTTTCAATTTCTATACTTTCAAACTATATGTCGTGTACAGATAAACTTGCGATTATCTTAAGCCTATACTGTTTTATGAAAAAGTTGATCGTAGTGATATTATATTTTGTTTAATACTCTTCTTTTTGTCTCTCTCTTTCTCTCTATCTATCTATCTCTCTTTCTTATATATTGTCAATACGAGTCTTATTTTTCTATATTTAATAATCAATCCCGTCTATCGCTATTTTTAAATTAATATTTTTTAGCATAAAATTTATACAAAATTTCTTTTGTGACTAGGACGTGCCAAATTCAAGAAAATATTTTTCCCGCTGATTGCTTCACTAGGACTCAAGGCTGTCTTCTTCGATCTACCTATCTTGTTCGGTCTAAGTTTACTAGTCTTAAAAACTCTCGTACTCAGTAAATTGGCTTTGCTGATCCCAGGTGTTATGGCGTTTCAAAAATGGATCAACAAAGAAGAGCCACAGCCTTCCTTGTATGATTATAATATCTCACCTTTCACACCGGATAACTACAAGAATGAACTACAGGGATACAGAAGCTTCAACAATGCTGAAAACGTCGACGCTCACAATTTGGCATATTCCGCGCACGCACCGGACGCTAACAATTAAACTTTTTATTCCGCTCGGTGTTTCACGTTATTCGTTAACATGAAAAGACCTGAAAGAATCAGAAAATACTGAGAGAGCCATATATTTTCACGGAAGCAAACTTCTTCTCGTGGCCATTGGTCCCACCTATGACTGCTAGAAATTAGTAACAATTAATATATAAATCGTATAATTATAATCGTATAATCTATTATATAATTTATTAAATGTGTTATTTATGTTATGTAACTTATATATATATCTTGAGTAATATATTGAGTAATTCAATCTCTAGTGTGTTTATTTAATAAGTGTGTGTGTATATATATATTTAATAAATTCTTCACATAAAAGAGAAAGAATCTGTATTTGTGATACTTACACTGCTTTATTTATTTGTAAACATAAGAACAAAAAAGTTTTCTATTTTAGGGAAATTAATGTTGCTAAAAAAAAACTCGATGAAGCGCGATACATAGAAAACGTCATACGTGACTGGTTTCTGTGAGCGCGAAATATTGACAGCTCGGCGTGCGAAATTACAGAGCACTTCGAGCTCATACGCGATTCCAATCGGATATGGACATACCTACAGGTCATTTACACTCCCACTTCTCTTCGTCCTCTCTTCGATCCTTCTCTCTCTTTAGTTGCCGACTTCGACGTACGTTCCATTTCTCTTGTTCGAATGTCTTCTGACTGCATGATTCGGGACACAAGTTTTACATACCATACCGTGTCACCAAGAGACACGGAAATCTAATTTTCACCGGAATGCTCATGAACGAACGCGGAGATAACGTACTAATCTTAACCACGAAAGAGATGATAGAATGCAATTTGTAAAATGTGTTCGTGCGCAATGCAAATACATTTCAGATACACGTGAATAAATAAAATAATTGATAAATAAAACACGTTTTTTCGACAGATTTCTTACTGATAAAAAAGCTGAGAAGATAGCTGAATTATATACATATATATTTAAGAAAATAAAACTGTGTACGTTTAAGAAAATTTCGTAGAACGTTTTTTTGATCGGAACAACTGCGAGTTCAAGAAAACTTAAGGAATTTCCACGATCCGATAGACCGAAAGTGACTGCGAATAAAAGGAAAATTTGCTTGTGCCTGCGAATTTTACGTTACGCGAGTCTCGTGTCATGCATATCCATGTCCGTCTTCTACAGAGAGTCGATGGAATTAAAATTCCTGGCGCTACTGCCCTTGCACGTTGCTTGCCAAATGGTTCAGCAAGACCCCACCACTTATCGATTACGGATTGTATAAAAGAAAAAAAATAGCCCTGGGGCGAACAGTCAAAATCATTACTTTGAAGTCACGCTATATAGCAACTTTGTAACGATGAAGACCAAGGTAATCATCATCCTGGCGTTACAGCTGGTGGTGACGTTGGCGATGACCAATTCGAACACGGAGGACGGGAACAGTCTGGAACATCTGGAAGAAAAGCTCGCGAGAGCGATGGACGAACTCAATGAAAAAGATACAATTGGCATTTACGGCGATATGGTAACTTTGGAAAAGGTCGCGGAAAACAAAGAACCATTGGACAAAAGTGCGGATCCGCTCGTGAGCAGAATTGAGAAATTCTTAAGAACACGAAAAATACAAATCAATCTTCCTGATGATACTTCGACCGCTGGTTTATTCGGACGCGCTCTCGGCCAAACAAACATCGACGTGGAACTTAAAGGTCTGACACACGGAGCTTCCGAAGGTAAACGATGCATCAAGAAAAAACAAATTACTGTTAAGTAAAAAAGATAAACATGATAACAATATTGTTTTATGTTTAACAAATAGAGTAAAAGTCGTACCAAATTTAAAAATTAAAAGCAACTAGAGCAGTTTTTGTCTCTTAAAAGTCGAAAATTTGTTCACGATAAAACTGTGTGTGTATACGATAAGAATAATTAAAAAAAAAACATGGTAATACTGACAAGTATCATTTACTGCAGCTATTTCAAAAAAATATAGTTTAATATGTTTAAACAGTGATTAAGGTGTAACAAAGTTTGCATTCCGTTATTCACGGTTAGCACTGAAAATCTATAGTTCACGTGACATATATTAGTGCTGAAAGTGAATTTCATCAGTGAATGACATCTAAATTGTAATTTTTAGACAGAATAAGTAAATACAAAATTCAAAATCCGCACACATTACAGTTATCTATATTTTTCTGGTAAACTTTTACAAACATGTAATAAGAAGGAAAGGAAAGGATTTTTTAAGGATTTATTTTATCTATACAATTTTTTATAAAAAAATAATAATAATTGTTCTCTTTCTAAATTTTTTTTAAACTTGTTTAATTATCTATCGTGATCTAATTACATGCTTTCTTCCGTGTACCTCACATTGAACATTACATATTCCATACCGATGTAATACGACTAACATAAGTTGTAATAGCGACATTAGAATACAAGTGAATTCAGTGAGACTCTTGTGAATCCGTAACATAGAGAGTACTCGTTCTTCTCGAACGTTTTGATCTGGTATGAATACATCATTCGCTGGGCGCAAACTTATAGTGCCTCGCCTTTCTAAAGTCCTGCCAATGGCGTTTAAGTAGTTCACGCATCTCGAGACCCATTGGTTGAAAAGTATTCCTTGCCGCATCTTCATTTTCGATTCGATCTCGTGGCCGATATATCATTCATACATTCTCCGCGTCTTTTTAATCTATCTTTTTTTAATATTCATAATATCTTTTTCTTGAGTATCTTTTCACACGTGTATCTCTTCATAGCGTGAAAAATATTTGTTATGGTACTCAAAAAATAATAAAAAAATTCGGCGACGCGTTTGCATTCATCGCCAACTAAAAAAAAAAAAAGGGAGGTGAGAGCGATCGGAACGAAAAGATCCGTACATGGAAAGCTGCGCGTTCCACTTCTACCACATCCGCGAAAACAAATGCCGGAGGTGGGAACGAAGTGGGTCGAGGTAGATCTGTGGTGGGATTTCGGGTTTCTAGGACGACTACCGCGCGAGAAGACATCTAAGAAGGACCTTGAACGAGAGTGTCGTGTGTCAAAGAAAGTAGACTGGATAATGATGAGCGTCCGTTACGGACTTTTAGAAATCCTGACTGATCATTCGAGTATCCTGCGCGATTATCGATATCGCTTTTATATTAATTAATTATGCTCTATATTTCTATTACACTTGATATGTACTTTTTAATTATATTTCGATGTGCTTCGAGTTTTCTACAAAACTAACTGTATTAACTATTATTAATAAAAAAAAAAAAACGTTGAATTTTTATTTACAAAACGTTATGTGTGTTATTTACAGCACGTACAAGATTGAAGAAGATGATCCTGCCGCTGTTGCTTCTACTGAAATTAAAGGCATTGATCATTTTGCCCATCGTAGTTTCCGCCATCGCACTGATAGGCCTTAAAGGTTTGGGCGCGGGACTTGTGTCGCTCTTGCTTTCCGGCGCGGTCGCCTTGAAAGCCCTTTTGACACCACCTCCGCCACCGAGAGTCACTTACGGGGTCGTAAGACCTCATGAAATTCATCACGACCACTGGCACAGGTCGGAACAAGAGGTCAATCAACCCTACAAAGGCTGGACACCAGAATATAATGGTGAACAACCATATCCATATCATGACATTCCATGAAATGCACGAATCATTTACTTGCCATTCATATCATTTATTTATTTATTTATTGTACATGTCTGCATATATTCAATTTATAAGATACTATAATAAAATCATTTTTTTACACAATTATTTGTCGTTTTTATTGGCAAATTATCATTAAAACTGTTTTTTTTCTATTGTTCACCGGAAACATATCTTATTCGCGACTTGTCAGTAAAACGAGACTTATTTACGATAAAAATTGTATAATAATGTAAATAATTATAAATATATATATTGTGTGAAAAAAAAGAACTATGTATGTATACATATGTATATATAGTCACAAACGGATTTCTCATACCTATCAGTCGGTCAGACGAGAAGGCTAATGACCTAGATGGAGGTTCACGGACGAAGAGAAGATAGAGTAATATGTGAGTGTGGGAGGTAGCGGAGAAAGACGAAATTAAAGTGGGGAACTAGGAAGAGGAAGAAAACGGGGTCACTGTGCCAGGAAAGGGTAGGAATGCAGGCCGCAGCTACGATTGGTCTGCCGGGTTCCCCCTCAGTTTTACTCGCGAGTATTAAGGTCAGTGTGTCATTGCCTCCACGTGTTCCTTTACCTCCACCAAGGGTACGACCGTGGCCTTTGTAGTGGGGACCGGAATAACGGCATCGGTTGTGATTAGTCGAGTCACTCCGAGAGGAGTGGGACAGCAAATATGGGTATATATAAACTGTTCGAGAGGACAGCACCGTCGAGAAGTTGCGGACACGATGAGGAACGCAGGTTCCGTTCATGTTAAGGCCTTTCGTCTCTGTAAAATATATATACGTTATTAGATTTACATTAAATTTCAGATTATGTAGAACGTGGAACTTTATATATATATATATATATATATGTATATATATATAAATTTCTTAAATATTTATTTGTAAATTAACAATGCACTAATTTAAAACAAAATTTTTTTCTTCGAGAAGTTTTTAAATTGTTTCTTATCCGTAAAAAAATGGCGAAATATTTTGCATAGATTTGAAATAATACGTGCATTTTATTATGTTCATTGTACATTTATACATTATATAAATAATAAATATGTATTAAAAAAATTATAAACATTGTATTATGTCTATACATGTATTTAAATTTGTTAAAATTATTAAATACTTATAGTAAAACAATATACATTTATATATATATATAAAGAGAATAAATTATTTCGCGTCATGATAAAATTAACATCAAGGGTGTTATCTGAAATATAATATAATTTATTACAAAAAAAATCATAACGCACGTAATACAATTGTTAGATCACTACATTCTTCAGGACTAAGTGCCGCAACGAAAAGTTCGCAACATTTAAGAGATTGCCTCGAAAAAAAATGTGAAAGTATAAGTATACGCGATGCATTTTGAGTACATAACGGATATGCGTTCTCAAATTAAAGAGGTCTATGCAATCACTCAGGTATCAAATACTAGAAGTAGTAATTCTACTTGTTTTCTTTCCTTCTTATTTCGCACTACGACGCATCGACACTAACATGCGCACTATATACATATTTATATCTACGATATCTTTATTCTATCTAAATATAATTTTAGAAATTATGTTTTAGTCTGTGTAGTTTATGCCTGTTTCAAAACAACGATATATATACATTTATATATAAAAAACTAAAAAATATATATGATTTCAATATATAACCAGATGACGTACTTGAAGCGACTAGTTAAAATAAATATACGACATTTTTGAAGTTTATTCAGTACGCATCTCACTATGTTTTATCATTACAATGATAAATATTACATTATTGTAAGAAACAAAGAGAGAGAGAATTTATTAAACCTTTTAAGCAAATATATAATTCTTATGCAAATATAGAAGTATATACCAAGATCACGTACAATGATAACGACTTTCCCGTAAAGAAACAGGAATTTCAATTTTTCTGTGATAAAGCAACGTTGCGGCATCAAATTGTTCACAAAATATAACAATTTACATGCTCGAGCATGTGTGCGACGAAAAAGGAAAGGACGTTGCTTTTTCCTAGAAGAAAGCAAACCGTCCGTAAAAATATTGCAAGTACCGTTTATCAACTAGCAATATGGTAAACAATGTTCCAGACAGTCGGCAATTTTCAGCTTTCCAAAACGATCATTTTTCCTCGAGTTACATACATTTCTCTAAATTCCTAACAGTATATACCGCTGATATTCCAAAGACTTCGGTGTATAAAAATGCGATTTGCCGCGGTAACTGTCAGAGGAGAAATTATTGACGCGTTTTCTTCGCTAATCCAGCGTGAACACTTCCCTGAATTGTCGCAAATTGTTGGGTATATCCGACTTTCTTGAAACAATGACTATCTCGATTTTGATCACAGAAAAATGGGGTAATCACGGCCGTTACACTACGCACGATCACGGTCTTTTCATATGAATTCACTCGTCGTAAAGTCATGTTCGCACTTGTGAGTGTACACCTACTACGAAACACTCTGTGCAATTTCTCAAAACATCGTGTAGTTAAAAAACTTTTTAATATTACATACTGTCAAAAAATCTATTTAAAAATTTCTTTTTATTAAAAATGATCAAGTTTTTAATTTAAAATACTTAGTTTTTGTAAAACAATTTAACTTTTATACGTACATTTACTTGTAAACTAGTACTCGACTTATACTCGATTTTAAAATAAAATAAGTAAATAAATAAATAAAAGTACATTAAGTGAAATAAAAATAAAAATTCAAGTATCAAATCGAATTATGGCTATGTAGAGCCTATGCAGGATGTTGTGCAGATAAATAATAAATCTTTATGTTTCGAAACGTTTTGACTTTTATTTCAAGTCCTTATCAATCGAATCTTAATTAAAAATATCATTAAAATTTGAAATAATGGACAATCAAAAATAATCGAGTATCTCAGACAAGTCATGCTTGAACAAACTGTGTGTGTGAGTCGATACTGCTTAAAAATAAAAATATAATATACTTATCTTTCTTCTTTTTCTTTTGCCTTTTTTCTACGTAAGAAAAAAAATTAAATTATTTTATGCGTTACTTTACATCGGATGTCCCAAATATGGTGTAATATTGCGGTTTCAGAGTCAATGATTACCAATATATAAGAATATAAATTGCTGTGATACGCTTTTGCAAGAAAAGAAAAACAGGAAGCATTGATCGTATAGTGGCGTTGTTCTGATTGAGATTCCATACGAGAGAAAAGGTGTTTATAAATTGCGATGTCAGAATGAATGCATTGTATGAATGAATTCACGCGCGATCAGATTCAATCTATTACATTATGTTTATAAATCGTGCTTAATCTGTAAATTATTGAAAATAGTTTTTAATTTACGAATTAAACACGGTGTGTTTTTAACGGCTGTTCCAGTTCATCCTTTTCGTCGCGATGCTTAGGAAAGCGCAAAGCCGACGCCCACTGTCATCGGCTGGCGGACTGTCGCGCATAGCTTCGCAAGAGCTATGTGAACGGCACGACGTGCTCGAGATCCCGCGCGATTATTAACGAAAGGAAGGCACGGCGCGCGAAAAGGAAGCAACAAATCGCGAAATAGATGCCTCGGGAAGAAGGCTAGTCCGTTCTAAGTCGACACACCTGCCCGACGCGCGAGCATGCAAGCGCGTCATATCGCGACGTTGTGCATGCGTTTCGCCTCCGTGTGTATGTGCATATATACGCGCGAAACCGCGATAAGCGATCCCCATCGAGCTGCCTCGTGAAAATCGACTGCGTACTTTCACATCGGCAGATCCGTCTGAAGCGCCGTTGCTCGAGCGTGGCGCGCGAAAATCAGATCTTCAACGAGCTCTAGCTAAACTGGGCTGATTTAAAGTAGGACTCCCGTCACGTTTCGCCTCTCGACTGCAATAATAATTTATATGATATTTTGTTTATTGATAAACTTCTTAAATTTCAAAATCCGAGTCGCACTCGTGTCGCGAACTGTGCGCACAATTAGTCCACCCGTGTCCTTTTGGTTTCGCTCTTGAAACCGAAAGTAACCTCGCGACAGACGATCGGGCGCTGATGATACAAACGCTCGTCGATTTTGTAACTAACGCGTGTTTCGGACACTCGATTTGATTCTCTTTAAATGCGGTTCACTGCAATTTACTTCTTTTTCATACATATAAAAAAGAATATTAATCCTTTCGTAACAATCTCGCAGACCTATTTCTGGATTTCTAGAATATGCAGAGAAATTATCTTACGTTTAAAAATATATTTTAAAAGCGCTTGTTATTTTGTAAAAAAAAATTTTATAAAAGAATAATATACAGAGACTAATATAATATTTTAATTAACTTTTAAATTAAATTTTTAATATAATATTATTTATAGTTTCGACATGTACACACAGAGATTGCTTATTTTTTTTTTATATAAGTAGTTTATTTAGTACTTCTAAATTTTTAATAGCGGGAAGCATTTTGTGATATCAGCCAAATTACAGAAACGAGACGCCTACCTATGGAGATCAATCGTCGAAACTCGATCGTGTGCGCATTAATCGTAACGATTAAACTGGTGCCTTCGCTCTCATTCATTATCTCTCGTACCCGTTGGTAACGTTTTTTTCCGTAAATTTGACTTAGATTCGAATTCTCCGCTCTATTTGACGCTCCCTCTCGCCGCCATCACTTGGCCGGCTGCGGGAGGCCCCTGCCTCCTCTTCTCGACGTCCGCAAAGAAGAGAGTTCCGTCGTCGATGCTCTCGACTATGGAGAATGTATGAAACGACCGAAAGGCAAAAAGGAAAAAGGATTATCCAGTGACTCGCTCTATATATACTGCAACTATCCGAGGGTATGCCCAGTGCACGTTACGCGTCTCGTCCGTCAGTTTCAAGGTCCTTCGTCTTCCGAGGATATCGTCGCGCTGCTGGCGGTCCGTAGACCCGGGACGAAAAAAAACCCTCGCAAATTCTCCGATCGGGTACCTAAGGAAAAAAATCCGAAAATCCGCGATGAAGAGAATTACGTATGTCGCCCAATTATCACGCTGTCACCTCCTTTTTCTGGTGCTTCTTTTTGCGAAATGCGCCAGTGCGGAGATCGAAAGACGCACCTCGCGACAAATGGTGGAGGAGATGCCGGAACATCTGGCGCCGAATTTGAACAAGGATTGCGGGAAATCGTATAGTGCCACATGTCTCAAATTGGACGTGGTATCCTTCCTGGATAAACTCTCGGAGCAGGAAGACATCGGAATCCTGCCAGGAGTATCTGTTGTCAAAGAAAACGGCTCTACTCATGTCCCGACGTCGGAGGTAGTTGCCAATTTGGCGAGAGACTTCCCGAACGACGTCGAGAAGAGATTGGACGCCTACCTGGTGCACAAGGTCGGCAGTTACCTCAACAGCCACTCGCTCTCCATCAAGCTTTTCGATCCGAAGACCTTCGAAGCCGCCAGGAACTTCAATGAAGAGGCGCTCGCGCAACTCGGCTTGGGTGGAAATCAAAATGTCGAAACAGGTTAGAGAGCGATAAATTTTATTTTTTCTATTGTTTATGTATCTGTTATGTAACAACAATAATACAGACATTCAGATAATCAGTTTGATGCGAGACAATTTTTCTGTACACTTCATCGTACGCTTTAAAACGTATTTTATGTTCTTAGGACGTAAGAAGGATAAAGGCGGCAACAACGGCCTGATGGCTGGTTTGATGATGATGAAGGGAACTCTCGGCGCAATGGGATTCGGCGCGTTGGCTCTTCTCGCCGGTAAGGCTCTGATGACCGGTCTCATGGCGCTGATGTTGTCGGCTATCATCGGGCTCAAGTCCCTGGCGCACGGCGGCGAAAAAAAGACCACGTATGAAATTGTCAGCAAACCGGTGTACTCGAGCTCGCACACGCACAGCTCGGAGGAACATCACGGTCACGGATACGGACACTCCGGATACGGAAGATCTCTCGATTCCGTCCAAGAGTCTCTCCAGCAGGCCGTACTTAAGTACGGCAACGCGCGCGATCGCAGATCAATTCTATAGAATTAATCTCACCCCCGATCAATCAGCTCCCGACGACGTGTCCGCGCTCGCTGGCACACTACGAAACACCTTAGCACATCTCTACCTCACTGAATTTCCCGTTTTTCTTCATCCTCTCGCACTACTCCCTCATCTTCTTTTTTTTAATTTTGCCTGTCTCTCTCTCTATCTCTCTTTCCTTGCCATTTACCTGATTTTTCTCACTCACTCGTCTCTTCAAGATCTCGTCTCACTTCATCGATTCACAGTTATCACATTATTTATAGTCACATAGGTATTTATTGCGATCGCGCCACTGCAGTTCCGATCGGAATACTCGTTGAGAAAGCGTATCGTCGTTTTGCACGAGAATTGCTCAGAATCATGTACATGATTTTTGAATATTTATTTTGTTACTGTAAAATTGTAATAAATAAAAAACAGATTTGTAAAGATACGTATGTTGTTGTTGTTAATTGTAATTATCGTTACGACTGAGTATTATGTGGTGTGTGGGATGAAATTTATCTTCAGCTAAGTATCTCGACGATAGTCATCATGAATTTTGTGTGTTACAATGAGCACTTCTCACTTTGCCCGACATAAGTACATCGTAGATAAGTGTATCATGCGCTGAAAAGTCTGCACTTGCATTCCCTCTTTGTTACGGTAATTTAATTTTCACGGTTAAACATCTCACCTCTGAAGGTGAATGTACGGACTAAATAAAAACACGATGTAAGAGACCGGCGCCTTGCGATAGCCAATTAGAGTATCACTTCTGCGGCAGATCATGAAGTGTTGCCATTCTGAAGGTGCAATGCATAGAAGTATAAGTTAGTATACTATACATGTATACTATATACGTATACACAATGTCGTTGAAGTTTGAAATGTTCGAGCGAAAAGATGTGTTTCAACGAAAACGTTTCAGACTTTTTCTTTGTGACAAATTAAAAAATTTTTATCATATTTATTGACATGTAAAAAGACTTTTACTTTTCGGGAAAAAAAGTCTAGGAAGGTCGCCAAGCAATGTTTTCTCACGCATAGTTTCAATGATAGTTGAGACGTTTTAACGTCTTTTCTTTGGTAACAAATTTAATATAGTTTATTATATAATATTTATTGACTTTTACTTTTTGGAATAAGAACCTGTCACATGTACATACTTTGTTTTTTAAAATGAAAAAATTTCTTAATCTAATAAATAGTAAATAATTCTAAAATTAAATAAAGACAAAAGCCAAGGAAGTTCGAACACAGTTATAAAATATGTTACAAGTGTTTATAGTGTTCAATACAACTACAAATACTTTGACAAAAAAATACGTATTTTATCAATGCTAATATTTTAACTACACTCGAATGACGCGCCGACATCTTATTTCTGTTGGAATATTAACACTGATAAAGACCGCATCCCTTAATCGAAATATCTCCAGTATCATTAAACACAATAAATACAACCAACCATATTCGGGTTTTCATTGGCCTTTCTTTTTACTCAATATGAAAAAATATATCTGTGAAAAAATAATATATAAAACTAAAGAATTCTGTAAATGATTATTATCAAAAAAAGAAAGATAATTACGAAATAAAAATAATGAAATAATTGCAATTATTAAAACTTAAATACTACAGATACTGATTAACTAATATATACGGAATATAAATTATGAGTCGCAATTAGTGATCACCGTTTTTTTACTTTTTTCATATTCTACTTCCAAAACCTGTAATCTTTTCAATGCTTCCTGCGCGTTTTCGCTTTAAATCTGTAATTAATTTACAAGTAGAACACAGAACTATCTTGTGTCTCTTTTTTGAATTTTCTTATAATCGTGTCAGCGTGTTACAAGCTCACTACTACATCTCATTACTGCATCCGGAAGCGTTCTGTTTATTTACTTCGCACGCCGTTGTTGAAACTCAATAAATGATTAAATAGAAACCCGCCTTTTTCAAGCTTATCATCAGAAGACTACTTGTCTCGCTGCGAATAATGACAATCGTGACAAAGCGTTGAGGGAGGATACCACGAATGACATAAATCTCATTGTATATAAACGATTGCAATGACCCACAGTCAGTGTCAGTCGATGATTCCTTCCGAAAGTTATCTTCGTCGTCGTTGTCGTCGGTGCCGATAATTTCTCACTTGTGTAAAAGTGCGTGAACTTATGTTCGTGCCGTTGTTGTTGTTGATCACGTGCGCAATCCACGCGAATGCGTACGAGAAAAATGATATACGAAGCGTCAAAGATTACATCCTTGACACGGGGTTCCACAAGACGTCGGTCGAACGTCAGATATTCAATTTCAGAAAGGGAGGCATCAAAGTCGACGTAAAGGTGGTCCCATTGGTCAGAGATAATTCAAAGAACAAAAACAACGATTACTTTCCAGATTTTCCTGTGAAAGACATCGGGAAATGCATAATCGAATTTTCGCTTGACTGCATAAGAAAACGTCTGGTTCGTTATTTGGAGACGGTTAACAGTCTCGACGAAATTACGTTGCTCGGACAAGATATAAAATTGGTGAAAAGCAGAACGATACGCAGATTGAACGCTCGCTCGATGAACAACACGGACGTCAGTATCGAACGTAGTGTGGATGATTTCTTTGACTCTTACACTCTGCGTATCACGCTACCCAGATGGAACAGTAAACGAGAAAAGAATCAAATCGACGTCATGATGGATGACACAGCTGTGGCAGAAGGTTGGCGCGATAGATATTAGAACACAAGCGTTGAAAGTCGTTCTGAAGATGTTCGACGAGTCTTCAAATTATCGTTTGTCTAAATTAAATTGTTCAAAAACATTTTTTTACAGGACGAGGAAAGAAAGGGGGCGGAGGCGGTAAAGGCAAAGGCGGATGTAAGATGATGATGATGTGCATGATGATGATGGCCAAAATGAAGCTCGTAGGTAATGTGTTTATTTATTTGATCGTTACGCAGAACGTTCGTATAATTCAAATAAAACATCTGAAGTTTATAAATTGCGCGTACCATTGTAATAGGAAGTAATCAAATTTCGTTTAACAGGATTGATGGCAATGAAAGGTATGATGATGGGCGGTATGTCCTTGATGGTCTCTATGATGATGCTGATGCAGAAATTAAAAGGTGGCGGCGGTGGACCTTGGCAAGGCGGCGGAGGAGGAGGTATTACTTAATTTTCAATCTGCGCACCTAATCATCAAAATTGATATTATATAATTAATCTTTTAATAATCTTACTAATACTTAATGCGTTTGCAGCACGTCAAAATATTACCAGAATGCATAACTTAGTTTTTTTTTTTAACAATGTAGAAAAATACTATAATACGAGGCAATCTTACAAATGCACAATTCGACAAACTTACAAGTAACACAAAATTAATAAGCACCCTTATGCGTGCGATAACAATCGCTAACCTCATGACACTTTCTAGGACAACTGAAAGAGATCGTGCTTCTTACAAAAGCCTCGGGCGGGGGTGGAGGTGGCGGTGGCGGGCCTAGCGATAGTTATGGTGCACCTCCATCAAGTAGTTATGGTCCCCCCTCAGGTGGCGGGCCTAGTGATAGTTACGGTGCACCTCCACCAAGTAGTTATGGTCCCCCCTCAGGAGGCGGCGGCGGCTACGGCGGAGGTGGATGGGGTCGCAGCTTCCACAAGCCGATGACATCAGCGTACGACAATGTGATTAAGGCGGAAGCCGCAGACGGATCAAATAACATTCCCATGATAGGAGAAGCTACTTCGAACACAGAAAGCATCGATTATCCCGATTATCAGGACTATCAAGAAATGCCGATTTCAAACATGAGTTTAGCGAATTCCAATTGGAACGGAACGAACTATGCGATCGAACATGAAAGAGCCAATTCGAGTTTTGAATCGGTAAAAAATGACTTGAAAGTAGACTCGTCAGTGAACGCAATGGGCAGGAGTTTTGGTTTTAAAAATCCGCTTACCAACATCGTTAAAGTGATCGAAAAGAAGAACGCTGATCTAACAACAAGTACAGATCAGCCTGATGTTACTTACGACACAAATATGACCTACATGAACGAGTGGCAAGCCACAGACGAAAAAGTGCAGTCCGATAATGTTTTATTGCCTTCAAACGCGAAAACCGAATCTCAGCAAGTTGAACCACTCTCCAGAGACATTCCCTTGATACGTGGAATTTAGATTATATTACTCACTTATGGCTATCAGTATTTTATATATGTGTATATTTTTTTAATAAGGAATGAATAATAAAATATATGTGAAACAGAAGGTTTATTTCATTAGAAAAGTAGTAAAAATTTTTTTTTAGCTAATAATAATAATTATTATTATTCTGGCGGCAAAGAAGTGGCGCAATCTTTTGATAAGTCTTTCAAGTTTCTTCCTCTACAACTTTCAAGTGAACGTTTCTGAATGTTGTGCGAGATGTACGAAATCCCCATTTTATCGAGCATACACCTGGTAATACCGATCGAGAAATCCTCAACATGAGGAACGTCGACACCAGGTGTCCAAGGATGTTTAAAATCAGTCAAGTTCAAGATTGGATATGAATAAATAAACATATATATATATGTATATATATATATATATATATATATATATCCATATCTTTGAACAAAATACTATAAATCACATTGAAATTTTTTAACGGTTGTTTTTTTTTCATGATCATGTGCGAGTACATATATTTCATGGCTTATTGTATTCACGTCACATTCATATAAGTTATCATGCTAAAGACCCACTATTAAAATTTAAATTTGCAGTGAAAGAAGAAAAAAACGATTCTATCGATATTGTATTTTTCCACATGTTTGTATACATAATTAATTATTGAATTAATATACTATATTCTCTACCGTTTAATGGAGACTACTTAAAAATCCACAGAAATTTAAATATATTTTGCATGTCAAACGTTACACGCGACCAAATTCTTAAGTGACCCCGGAGCTTTTTACTCGCACGATGATCGACCCACATTATTGACCGTTTGCTTAAAACTCGCGACACGTAGTTTTTTCAGTGACAACGCGATCTGATTTGAAAAGAGTAACGGCAAAAGCCGATTCACGTCAGCCGTTGTTGTCGGACAGTTCGCGAGCATTTATGGCCGTGCATTTGATTTTCTCTCCCCGCTCTCTTTTAATTCCTTCGATGAGGAAGTGGCCGCTTCAAACCGCGAGGTTGTTTGTTGGTCTCACCGTTAGATAACCTACTGATCAACGGGATACAATCGGTCGCTCCGCTCCCTTTCGCGACCGATCAGGAAAATTGGTGAAAGTGTTCTTCTCGCTCGACAAAAAGAGGTTCCCACTGTTCCGGAAATAGTAACAGTGCAACGTGCGCAAGGATGGGTTCACTTTCTTGCATTACCTCATCTGAGATGCTTCAAGTCTAAGTGATAATTTATTCCGACATTTACACTCGGATATGTAAAAAACCAATATAACAAGCCTAACACGTGATTTTGTTTTTGCAACAGAATAATAAGTGCAAAATATGATTTATTTTTGTAAGAAATCGGTCTTTGTGCAAAGAAACTTTGTGAATATTATCTATTTCCTGTCTCACATTCCTAAAACGTTAACTAATATTATACTAATATAAGTACAAGAAAGTATACTTTTTTTTGCGCATATCTTGATCTATTTTCCTTATCAGTAGTAGAAGTTTTTGTCACGAAAGATATATTCCTTTCTCAAAGTTGACGTAACGGAAATTGTACGTTGATCTCGGTATGTCAGACATACCGTGTACAATATATCATTTGTTCCGTCTGAGATGGTGCGATAATGTTGTATTTACATGCTTTTCTGTGCTTTGTAGAAAGAAGTAGGTAGGCAAGTGAATGAGACACTGTCATCACTTTTCATCAAAGTAGGAAAATTAAGAATCTAGAGAACTTCTAAGAGACTGAAGTAATTAAAAAGATAATCATCAAACTCGGTATGCCCAGCATTTCCCCATAAATTGGTATTTTATTTTAAAGATCGTTCAATATGTTTTTGGCGCGAATAAGTTTTTTCGAATAAAAGATTTATGTCTTTTTTTTTTTACTCACCGTGAATATGTGACGTGTCCCAGTTGCTTGGTTCACTTCGTGCATGTGTGAACAAACCAGTTCCGATGCAACGCAAACGAATATTTTTTTTTTTTTGTCGTAAAAATTGAAGTCAAAGTTTGCGTTTCTGGTTTGGCAATTTTCTCGACCACGTGTAAACTGAAATACTTTCTAATATATTGCGTGTGGTACGACTAATCCGTTAGACTGGCACAAATTGCTTCCTTTCATTTGAGATTGTAAAGCAGTGTAAGAGAAGTAATTAACGAAGAGATAGATAAGAGAGCGCGCACATGTTGCAATACGTTATAAATTAGTGCTATCACAACAATCCATCAAGTTATAAATCCTTTTAAATCATACATCGGTACAACATAATAATGCGAAATTTAAGTTTCAATCTAAAAATTAATTTGAGTTATACTTACGCGTTGTACACTACTTGTGAAGCAGAGTTCTTTTATCCAATTATTTTATCAATATATTTTCTGCAGCTTAACGCGTTGAAATGACGTCACGTCATTCATATCTGAATGTGACGATTAAGTTTTTCCAGTAACTATCTTATTTATGAATAATTGGTTTTACTCATCTAAGTAAAACAAGCAAATATGTTTGCAAAGAATTTGCAAAATTATTTTTATTTAATAGCAACAATTTAATATATAGCGCAAAACTAATTATTTTGGCTCCAAAAACACATCCGATTTCTACTAAGCGGTCAACGCTCAGTGTTAAACACTTTAAATAATATGCTAATGTGTGTCGCATTTATTCATACATAATTTACCGCTTTGTGAATCTTTGAATAATTACACTGAAAGTAGTTTTAAATTGCAGATATCGCTTTAAAGCTGAAAGCGTGAGAATATTTTCATAACATTGTCTTCATTTCCGAGAAAAAGCATCTTGGCAACGTTTGTCGCGCATCTGCATTATTATGCTTGATAAATAATAGGTAAGGACGGAACTGGGTTACACTGGAATGTTGTGAACGAGCCCCTTGTTCCTCCATGGGTATCGAGAACTGCTCTCAAAGAAGAGAAGTGAAGTAAAATCGGCGCGCGTGCTTATGCACACGTCGTTATATATTGCATTCGCGAACAAAGACAAGACACATCCGCACGGCGGAACGAAATTTTTACAATTCTTGTGTCCGGCGATTCTGTGTGGACAAACACGCACATGTGCGTAAAAAAATCCATTCGTCGCTTTTCGGCGTAAGCCGGTCACATGCCTCAACCTACCTAGCGCCTTTCATTAGTGGGTCAATGGAATTCATCCGGTCGAACTGCGCTCGTCAGTCCACGCTTGGTCCACCCGATTACCTTGAACGGTGTTTTTCCTGTTTCTTTATGTGTTCTTCGACATTGATGGTTTTCGAAACATTGAGTTATATTCATTGTCAATTCATTGTCAAAGTAAACATCATAAAAAACATGTATCAGTTTTTTTACGAAAGATAAAAAAAGTATTAAGAAAAAAATAAAGTAAGCAAGTATTCTCTTCCTTTTAAGTATAATCTATCTGCTATCGTATGTTTTTTTATAATATAATATATACTTAAACATTTAAAAATTTAAGAAATCAGTAACTTCTGTAATATTGCAAAAGTATATTCGTGAAATTTTATAAAAACATTTTTTTTTATAAAAACAATTTCGGTAAAAGATTACTAGGTCATTGCGATATATACTTGAAATCACCAAAGATTCTAATATTCAATGAAAAAAAAGAAGACATATCTAATTGCAAATTTAATCAGAAATAAATTGAAAAATATATTCTATGCATTTCAAAAAGAATTGCCGATTGCAATAATGAGAACACACTTTATCGGAATCTGTGAATGAAAAGATTTATTCAGGTATAGGTAACATAAAGCTTGTTTGTTTCATTTATGTTCAAGCGTATCAAGAGACGATGAAGAGTAAGCAAGTTTTTAACCGGAGTAAATAAATGATTCTTCAGTGACGCTGTAAGATATCTTATAAAGTAAAAGTATGTTAACATTGCGTCTCGCTCACAAAAGATAAAAGTAAAGTACTCGAGTATTATCTGCATATCAATATTTTTGCAGTTGACTTGTTCACATTTTGACATGCGGTAGCAAGACAAGAAATATATTAAATAGATACAAAAACAAACATAAAATTGTAATATTACGTAGTTTATTAATTTTTTACTTCGTGTACATTTGAGCAGAAATCTAGTTTTACTGTCTAATCTTTATGTATATTTATTCTTGTTTTTGATCTTTCTGGTTTTTGGATGAAAGAAAAAATGTATGCCATGACACATATTTACTTTATGAACAATAAGTATAAAAAGAAATATGTGAAAGAAAAACTAAAAAAGAGACAAAAAATAGAACACAAAAATGATTTATTTATAATTTTTATTATATTTACGCATATAAAAAATATATAAATATAACAATATATTTACACACATATATGAATATATTTACATAATTATATATTTTTATATGTTTTTTTTTACTTTTATTTTAATTATCTTGATAAACTTTGTACAAGTAATATAAATTACTAACATTGAAACACAACATAAAGAAAAAGTAATCTACATTTGTAGCAGAATTGAACAATATAATAGACTAACGTATACTTCTCATAAATAACTACCTACTTTTAACGATGAATCAACCACATATTAGCTCGCGGGCAGATTTTTTATCATCATCATTTTTCAACAAGGCAAAGTCTAACTGTCAGATCATGTGTGCGTATGAACAATCATAATTAGCTTTCTCGTAAGTAAGGCGACACTATATAACATGCTAAATCTTAATTACACTTTATCATCTCTATATGATAACATACAATAAGTATACATAATCAAGATATCTGATAGAAGATATAAAATCTATTGTATCATGCATGTATGCATCTGTGTATTGAAAATACACCAAAACAGGTCTTACATGTACACGTACATATGTGTGAATTACATTTTACTTTCTTCTCAAGTATGTTGCATCTAATTCTGACTAAATATTTATATTAAAAAAAAATACAAATTTATATTTTCCCCTCACATTATTTTATAATCTCTTTCAATCTCGATAATCTAACCAGATGTAACACTCGTGTTCAATCCGATCCACTTGCTCGTTCAAAACATACCCCACTGCCCAATTTACTGTAGGCCAGGATTCGAGCCAGAAGCCGAACGGTCTTAAGCATGCGTGTGTAACCTGTCCGGTTGCAGTCCGAGAGGAGACGATAATGACCTTCCACGGAGCTTGCCGACGGAGTAGGAGGGCCTTTGACACACTTGACGCTCAGGTGAATTGCAATCGAGAACGGAGAGACTCGTAGTTAGTGCGGAGCTGGAGATCGAACGGAGCGCGTCTCGACGGAAGTGTGAGAAAGAAAGGGACAAAAAAAAAAAGAGTGAGGCAAACGAAGAAAAGACAAAAGGTCAAAACAAAAGACATGATGCGCGACAGTGACAAATACTGATCAATAGCGTGATGATTGATAATCTGCGATGAAACATAAGTGCGACAATCTGCGATTGTGCGACGGATGTGCCGGATCAAAACGAACTAACACAAGAGAAGAAGAGAACCGTCGGTGCCGATAAAGGGAGTGGGAGAAGGTCGAGAAGTTTTCGGCGACAGAAAGTGGGAGAGGTCCGATGCTGATCAGCCGAGATCTCCGATAAATAGGAAAGACATATGATGAACGCGAGTAGAAACCAAAGAATCCGACGCGGCACGTGGACGATGATTCTCACGCGAAATCAAAAGTGCACCTGTTCTAGTTACTAGATAAGTAGTTGATCAGTGACGCCGGTAGATGGTGATTCAGAGCGTGCATTACTTCCGGGATCTTACCTCAAACTTCTGGTCATTCACAAGTTAAACGAAGTTAGAATATATATATTAAAAAAAAAAAAGTAAACGTAGTTTTGACTTTAATCAAGTGATTTCGAAGATGTATCGAGTAACGACGGTGTTTCTGTTGTGTCTCTCGATAACGTCGTCGTATTCGGAACTGTTCAGCGCTGACAAGCTCAGGATGTACGCGAAGTTCCTGAATCTCGACAAGCTTAGCATCAACGAAACGGGCAACGAACTGTGGCACGGGCTTTTTAGGGACTGCAACAAGAAAGTGACATTTTCGTGCATACAGAAAAACGCGTACACGTATCTCGACAACGTCTTCATCGAGAAGGACAATATCACCGTCTTCGACGGTCTGATACTTACGAGGAACACAAATGTCACCTACGACACGTGTCCTAAATTAACGGAAAGTCGTAACGACGTTAGCGAGAACCTCGTGGATGACGTCGACGCAGAAGATTGCGAAAAGAAAGCGGACGACGAGACGGAAGATCGAAAATTTAAAGAACCGGAATCGCCGCTTGAGGAAGTTACGAACGCTCTCCGGCGGAAAACAGTTAAGTTCTTGTCGACGAGAAATTACGAACTTCAACTTCCGCAATTCTTCTTCGAAGGCGCCACCGTGAAGATAAGCCCGCGCGAGATAGACGAGCATGGCGCTCTTCTCAGAGTGGATTTCGGAACTCAAGACGTACAGGAAGGACGAATCTTGTTCAAAAAATTTAGTAAGAGAGAAACGTGTGTTTTGATATCTACAATTAATTTATAGCAATAGAGAACGCGTAATGTTTTATACATTTAATATTTTATTTTATAGAAAAGTTCTTACAAAATAAATTATTGACGAGCTTCCTGGCGCTTCTCTTGATTATCAAGTTAATCAAAGTAAAGTTTCTGTTCGTCATTCCGTTCCTGTTCGGTGTTGGCGCCGCGAAGAAACTCTTCCTCAAGTTATTGCTCTTCTTCATCCCGGCGTTCGCGCACATCTTTAAGCTCTGCTCCAGCTACTATTCGAACCACGCCACCAAGTTCCACCATCACCATCATCAAGTACGCGCACAGTTTTTGTTCTCTCTCTTTTTTTCTCTTCCTTCTTAGATATATTCGCATAAAACTATTTTACTAAAATTTTGTTTTTTTCAGGTAGCGCATCACCATCATCACGTGCCAGTTCCGGTTCCGGTCCCGGCGTTTTATCATCGTCATCACAACGATTTAGACGGCTACGACGAGTACGATCATCCTCACATTCAATACCGGAAGGACGTAGAGGAACTCAAGGAATGGGGCATCGAGCCTTACGACGAACCTTACGAAGAGGCCAGTCAGATCGTGAACCGCGTTGTTTCACCTCTCGCGAACTCGATATATTCGGGTCCGTACGGGTTGCCGCAATACGCGCCGAACGTAAAGCCGATCGCGTCATCTCACCTGGACAACTCGGCTAACGCGCACAATCTGGCCTACTCCGGATATGTGAACGACATCAAGCACAATCGGCGACCCGCTCAGCCGACGATCTCCGTGTTGAATTCGAAGACGCCGGTGAAGAAGACGCCGTACAACACGATTTTCGCGACAAACGCGCGACCGGTTCCTCATCCGCAGAGGCTGTTGACACCTGTCGCGTCTTCCAAGAGCTCGACTATATCGATCTCGCGACAAGAAACAGATGATGACTATTACGGGCCGATAATCGACCGGCTGGAAAATATCTTTGACCAGCTGAGCTTCCACGACGAGATCTGTCGGGAATTGCTCGTGTGCAGCATGTACAAAAACCCAGCGAGCTACTCGCCGCACAGTAACATCGTGTCGAACGAGCTCTCCAGGTACGCGAAAGAAAATGCAGCGGAGTGGCTTATTATTGATTCAGTTACCGCGTGTATTACAAAAGAGAAAGGTGGAGATCGCCCGCCTGCGTTCCGAATCGCGTTAAATCGGGTCACCGGTCGACTTTGGTTCTGTCTTTCTCTCTTTCTCTTTCTCTTTTTCCCGTCGCATCGTTCCTTTTTTTGCCGCTTTTTATCGCTGCTTCTGATTGCACATCGTAACCAGACTTATTCAGCTTTGTACTTCAATTTTGCTCGATATTTCCGCTACTCTTGTTTTTTTTTCTCAAATAATCGTTCCTCTTCTTACTGCTTTTCGTCATTCCGATTATAAATCTTACGTTAGTGTAACGTTATTCAGCTTTGTCTCGCTTAACATTCTCTTTCACTGGCAATCGGCGCAAATTATAAAAATAATTTTCAACTGTGCCATCTACTCGACGAACCGGAAATAAATAGAACGGTTTTATTAAATCCGGAACGATCTGCAGATAGCTCACTTACGCACAATTACACTGATTCAAATCTCCAAGAATAAGTTTTTTTTTTTGTGGACAAAAATTACTTCGCGGACTCCGAAAACATGTTTGTGTATTGTGGAATTAATTCACATAACAAGCAAAGAAAGCTACGCGAATCGGGTCGGCTTGAAACGAGCGCGTTAATTAAGACTTGGAATGATTGCGCCTTTCAAAGAGATATTAGCGCGCGTCGCGTCACTCGCGCAATAATCACGATTAACTTTATTATGATTACATTAAGTTTTTTACCAAGCTTAATTTGCATATGATTTCAGAGATCCGGAGGAATTGAAGCTTATTTCTGACGTGACGGAGAGTTCGAAAAAATTCCTCAGATATCTAAACGCGGCCAGACTAGGTCAAGAAGGTGGAAATTGTCTCAGAACGTATCCCTGTCACAGCAACATCGAATGAATGTAGAACTTTTCTAGTAATTTGCGCATATTTATAATACGACGAATTTAAAATGTCCGTCGTTAGACTTACACGTTTGCTCAATAAGCCTTCCGAGGGAATGATAAGAAGAAAACTGACTGTTTTACTGTTATAAATGCAATATTTAAAAACTGTAATACTGCCATGTACGTACACGCGAGAACTCTCTAAAACCTTTCCACTAAAAAAAAAAAAAAAACAGAAATTGAAGTATTCTGTGTAGAAATTTACAATAATACTTAATAATAATGTAAAGTTAATTGATTTTGTTACTTATGATAATTTATGCCAATTCTTCAGAGTTAGTGACACACTGAAGAGAAATCGGTGAGATTTTGTGATCAAAGCTTCCATGGACTGTTGACACGTTGTCAAAAAAGTCTCTACAAATATCATCAATATATATGTATATCTATAGTTATAGATAATAACATTGATACAATATTGGATTGTGTGGCATTTTGTTAGATAATATTTATGTACTTCGAATATAGAGTGTGTCAAGAATCTAACAAAAATATTATTAATTTATTTGATTATTCTTGAAAACAAATATCTTAAAGATGAAAAAAAAGAGAACAAATACAGCGTAAACGCATGAAATGTAATTACACACATTGCAAAAGTTGTTTACCATTTGTGTAAGAAGAATTATTTAACTGCAGTTTGTGATGTTATTAACTTTATAAGATTTCGCGTATGAACAATCACATGAAAATATATATGAAACTTCTTCTCTCATAAATATTGTATGTATTAGTGTACACAATATGTCCGACATTTAATGTAAAAAGTAGTTAAGAAACAAACGCGCGATGAATAATTATATCTGCGATTTAGCTATATAAAAGTATTGTATACTTCTTAATCTTAATATTTTAGAGAATTACTATTATTATTACATACTCGGGTGCCATACCCAGCAAATGTTATTATTTAATGTTATCTTATTAATTTTATTTTATTAAAATACAGTGTAAAAAATTAATAAGCATATTATACTAAATTATTTATTTTGATCGTGTATATTTAAGTGTAATAAAATATTATAAATCAACGTTTATGTTATTTATGCATTATTTTTCTAACCGTTTGCATTATAAAATCGTACGTACAAGTAACAAATGTCATAATTAACATCATCGTTGCTATGATTTTTTAAATAACAAATACATTTAGAGTCTTCTTTTGTAACAAATTGAATAATATATTTTATTGTGTAATACCTATCTATTAACATGATATTTTTTTAAATATGTCTGAGAAAATAGTTTTTTTTTTTTCACGCGTGAAGTCAATAGTGATTATTTTAATAAATAAAGACATTTCAAGCCTTACTTGTGGCAAATTAAACATACATATGTTATCGTAGATTATTTATTGACATATAATATAACTGTATGTGTATAATAAAACTGTTATTTTATGAAACAAAAATCCGAGAAAGCTGTCAAAAATGTTTTTTCGCTTCGCACGATTAACAATGTTAGAAAACTTGAAACATATTAACAGAAGAAAGCAAAACAAACTCGTATTTTAATATTCCCTAAAGTTTTAGATCTAAAAAAACAAATCGAAACATGAATGAAAAAACTATAAATTAAATTTCTTAAAATATTTTTAATATCGATTTTCTTTGCGTGATTTTACAAAAGAAAAAAACAAGAAAAAAAATGTAGAATATATATTTAGATGATTTATGACTTAACCAAAAACTCTTTTGAACATAGTTCACCTGAATACATGTAGCGGTTATAATCCAAAAATGGAGGCAAATATTTCATGCTGACTTCGAAATCGAAATTGTCTTAGAGAGACGAAGGAGCTCGTGAAAATCGACACCCTAGATATAATGAGGCTTTCTTCTTTCCAAGCCGACAACACGTCTCTGATCAAAATTCATCGGCCGTCCGCGGCTGCCATCGGCTATAAAACCCCGTTGAGTTCGTTCGTACTGGCATTCGGTGTTTAGCCTGGTAAATCGGTGGGTGCTGCCATGAGGATCTTTACCACTATCGTGTCCGCAGCCCTTCTGGCTACCCTCACTAGTGCGCAAGAAACGGAAACTACCGTCAATGTTCTGCGACAAATTTATCACAGGTAGACATACATTATAATTATTGTAACACACCATATTCACATATTTAGAGTATTTATAATTATCAAAGAATACTTTTACGAATTACTATTGCAACTTAAACACAAACACAGTTTATAACACGAATACACGAATTTGTAAACGTCACAGATGCGCAGATAGCGAATCTATGCTATCGTGCGTTAAACCGAAGGTGGTGGCTTACCTCACCGACGCTGTGAAACAAGACAGATTGGCAATTACGAAGGATTTAGCGGTGGTTAAATCCCGTGACGCATCGGAGGATAACACGGAAGAGGGCTATCCCGCGCAATACGACGCCGCGAATCCGACCAAAAGGAAACTCCTGCGGACGCTGATGCTCGAGAAAATAGACGCGTATCTGTCTAGCCATCAGCTCGAGGCAAAACTGCCGGAGGCCATTGCCGGATCCAACATCGTTCCTAGATCTTTAGTCGACAGTATGCCAAAGAGTCTCACAGTTCCCCTAAGTGACTCTTCCAGCGGACAAGGTAATCGCACGTTACATCTTGACATTCATTTGACATTCTCTTGTGTATCGTTCGCGTTTCACGCGTTAGAACCACACATCTAAGAATCACAAATCTAATTTTGCGTCAAACAGAGATTTTGAGATTTTTTAAAGAGATTTAAATAAATTGATTTAAAATTTTCAGGTCGTGGTTTTGTCAAGAAGGTAATGATACCGTTTCTGCTTGGTCTCAAGTTCAAAGCGACCGCTTTGGTACCGCTCGCTCTCGCATTAATCGCTCTGAAGACGTGGAAGGCTCTGACTTTGGGCCTCCTGTCATTGGTTCTTAGCGGAGCAATGATGATCTTCAAGTTGACCAAACCGAAAGTCGCTTACGAGGTTGTTCACTATGGACACCCGCCGGTGGAGCACCCACCTCACTGGGACACCGCACCGCAAGGACCTTATAGGGCCTATAGGAAATAGAACGAAATTGACCGCCTCATCATCTCTGTCGTGTAGATCTTTTATTTAATATTTATTCATCGTGTTAGTGTGTGTTTAGCATGTTCTTGTACAATAAAACTTTTGATATTATTTCATTAAACGAGTCTTGTCGATTACTTTCCATTTTCTCCAATTTAATGTAATTTATTTTTTTTTTCCGAAGAGACGCGAATGACATAAAAATATAACACGAGAGTAAAAAGTAATATTTTGTAAGAAATATAAAAGTATTAGTTTTAAATTGAGAAAGTGATTAGTGTTTTTTATTTACCTTGTCTTATGTTTTCGCTTTTTAATTACAATGCAGTTTGAATAACAAGACATTTAAATTACCATAATTAGAACGTAGTAGTTACGTGCATGTCATAAAAGAGAACACGTAAACTTTTTTTTTTTTTTTTTTAATATTACCAGTGTCATATTTTTATCAAAAAAGTTGCTTCAATTCAGCAGCTTGTTCGTTTTATAACATATATATTCTTCAGTTCTTAAACAGTAATATTTTCTATCAAAATTCTACATCTTTGAAGAAGAAACGAAAGTGTAATACGATTTGCGGCTTTTAACACGCTTTTGTTGCCAAGCAATTAAATTGTCAACAATAAACAAATCGTAGTAAAATCACGAGAACTAGTAATTCTACGAAAACGCGACGTTTTTCATCGGCTGTACGGCCTGAATGTTTATGCAAACTCGACCCAAAATTCCAATTGCCGTTTCATTGTTACGACAAAGAAGAAGTCGGGCAGAGGACTCAAGTGTCTTCGATAGTAGTCCGTTTTCACACGAGAAATTCATACGCAGCGCGCATCGCTGATGTACGCTGTTTTACTTTGAGTTCGATCGGGAGCGAGAATTTAATTAGGTCTGACAGGGTGAAATTAGCAGCGTCTACAAAAGATCGAGCTGTCGATGACGGTATGAACAAACACGGAGAGAGCGAAGACAGTAAGGAGCTTTAACGACGCGTTCGTGTGGAAAGTCATGATCGTGATGTGAATCAATGATCGATTCAATGTCAATGTTACGGCAATGTTTCGATGTCAAGGATGAAAGACTCTTAAGAAGTGTATGCAAGATTTCCGATCATTTGCTATAAATAAAATTAATTAAATTAATAAAAAAACAAATAAAATATTTTCTATCAGGTTTTTTTTTAAATTTCAAGAATGTAAAACTTTCATATTGTTTTAGCAAAAGAAAGCTTTAGCGAAATTCAATATTTATAATATTATTCTAATTTTTACATTTTCAATGTATATATTGTTAAAATACGCTAAAAAGAAAAAATATTACAATAAGTTATTACGTCACAAAAGTTAAATTGTAATTTTATTTATTTATTTGTTGATACATATCTCTCATATAAAAGAAATTCAAAACAATGAAGAAACGCTTTTCACTTTTTAATGTAATTCCAATCATTAACTCGGCAATAATTCCGCGTTCGCTCGGGTCATAACGAATTAAATCCGATTACAAAGTCAGGATGCGTTCGTTATCAAAAATTGAATTCCGTGTCATGCTTCTGAAAAAATATTCTACAAACATCCATCGTTATAAGTGGGTCTTTCGATATCGTTTGTAGAAAGCAAACTACCCATTAATATCGCACAAATTCCATCGCGTTTCCAAGAGCCAAAAAGTATGACCTATTGGCACATCGACGGAAGCCGCGCTGCTACCCCGGATTCGCGATGTCGCGTGCCGCGTGTGTCGCGCGACCTCTCACGCTCGTTTCTCGTCTATCCTCCCTCATCAAGTAGTCGCGACGTGAATCGTGGCGAGGCCTCAATAATCGAAGACCATACTGAACGAAAAGAAAATTCATGTCCGAAGTGGGGGCGTATTCTTCGCGACTGTTTGACGTGCGTCGTGCGATTCAACGATAGGCCTTCGTATAAATACCGTACTGCCCAACCCATTGGCATCAGTCGTCGTGCCGCGATCGTCCTCATTCATCATACAGGTGTATAGCGCGGAGCCTTTTTTCACGAACGGATAACCTACCCCCCTCGCGAACATGAAGCTCTTCGTCTTGTGTACCCTGCTCGCGTTCGCTGCCGCGCAACCGGCCAAGAACGAAAATTGGAAAAGCGCCATGGACGAAATGGTCGGCCAGTCCAGGTCCGAGTGCTCGCAGAAGAACGACGAGATCGCGTGCATGAAGTTCAAAGTGTTCAATCTGCTCGACCAGATCTTCAGCAAGGATAACTTCAAGGCAAGTGTAAAATTATGGTAACGCTTCAGGATAATTGAAAGAGCTTTCGTTTGTTTTTCAATTTACGATTATAAGTTTTATTTCCTGCTGACGCGTCTGATAATTTTTAACAAGATTCTCTTGTTATAAATTTACATCGATTTTCATCCTCCGGTACTTTTAGGTGTCGGACACGATGGAGGTCACACGCAACTCGCACCCCGTCGAGGAAGTGTCCGCTCGCGGAGAGACTTCCTTTTTCGACACCGTGCAATCCTACTTGGCTTCTCACGACGTGACCTTCAAACTGCCATTGGACTCCACGGTGAAGGTGAGCTCGCGCAACATCGAGGACGATCAGCTCACCTTCGACCTCAAGTTCGGCCAGGGCCGTGCCGTTGATGAGGCCCGCAGATCCAAGCTGAAGAAAGTCGTCATTCCTATTCTGGTGTTCGTTCTTTTGAAAGCGATGACTCTGATTCCTCTGGCTATAGGAGTGCTCGGTTTGAAAGCATGGAACGCTCTGCAGCTCTCGTTCTTCAGCTTCATCGTGTCCGTTGGTATGGCCATTTTCCAGCTCTGCAAGAAAATTGCCGCTGACGGTCACGCTGCACCCATCGCTCATGGACCGTGGCAATATCAAGCTCAGTACAGGTCTTTCCAGGATCAGGATCAGCTGTCGTCGTCGCAATTCGCTCAGAATCTCGCATATTCCGCTCACGCGCAATCCTAATATCATTATTGTCTTATCGACGCTTTTGTAAAATATCTAGTTTCCTATTTGTGCTGTATATTTAATAAATTATTACCGCAAGTCATTTTTATATACCATGTTTGTTTAACGCCTCTGACGTCTTTCATCAACATCAAAATTTACTTTTTTTAGAGAAAGAAAAAAATAGATGATAAAATAAATAAATATATAAAATATACCATGTCGAAAAAATATATAAAGATACAGATATTTTAGTATTTTTTTTTTTTATTAATTTTATTACAATTAATAAACGCGGAAGAGAGAAACATTTTATTTACCTTGAAAGAGGGAAGTAATATTCTTATAATAAAATGTAAATGAAAATTACTCATTGTTTAGTCATTTGCAATATAAAATAGTAATAATTTTTTTATTTGCAACTTTTAATTTAATTTTATTTCTATTTAAACACATGAATTTATCACAATAATAATAGCTAATAACAGGTCTAGGTAGTGATAAGAACAGTCACTTACACAAAAAGCAAGAAGAATGTCTTCAGAACACCTGCACTTTGAAAAGTTTTTTAGTTATGATATGGTTTGATTAAAAAAACCATAAACTTTCTCTCTCTCTCTCTCTCTCTCTCTCTCTCTCTCTCTCTCTCTAAAGTTGGTTCCTTGCAAAAGTGCACTCTTTTTAGTACTTTTCTTTTTTAGTAAAAATTTAATTATGAGGCATGTGTGACATAGCTAGTAATTAAATTTGTATGAATTTTACGAGCAATTGGCGAGTCAGCAATTCTTGAGTAAACAAACAATGATGCTTTGCGCAAGAAAAACACTTGCGGGATCCTGGATCTTAAAAGCGGTCGCCTGTATAATAAAAGATTTGAAACTCTATGTGATATCCCGACCTATATCTTCTAATTTTTTACAATAATAAAAAGACAATTATTATCTTATATTTTTTTCTCCTTTTTATGCATACAAACTCTACAATATGTAAGTTGTTTAAAAATTAGCATTTTTTTCTGAAACCAAATTTCTACATGTTTATAAAAATAGAAAGTAAAATCCAATGGCTCACGTAGAACTACATATAATACATGTGATATTTCGCAATTAAACCTTGATAACATGCATGTTGAATATTTTAATATTCAAAAACTGGCTTCAACAAAGACTATTGTTTTTATTTACATATGAGATGTACTTCCGGAAGTTGTCATTTCTTTTTAAAAACTCATAAAAAATTGTTTCTTTCATAAATTAGATCTGAGATTTTATAAAATACTTAAAATAAACCTACGTATAAATATGTCATCATCTCAAGACTTTATGAGATACTTAAGAAAAATCTACATACAAATGTGTCACTTTCCTCTCTTATGAAAGTCAATTGGAAGCCGTTCCAAAACAATTCTCATTTCACTATTTTAACATATTATGTGACATGTGTAATTTCCATGGAAATATTTTCTTGCTTTAATCATTTTACATATCACAACATGTAAATTGTATTTGACTATATCCTCACACACTCATTTACTAACGTGAAACCGTAGCTTATAGAACAGACCAAATCAATAATAAATCTCGTGCGTTTCAAGGAAACTAATTTTCATACGATACACCTGGTGGTTTTTGCTAGAAACAACGGCGGCGACAGTTAGACATCATTCTCGTAATCATAGAAGGTGCGCGAACCGCTAAACCGACGCCTGAAAGTTTACGACGAGCCAAGTAAGAGCGTAAGACAAAAAGATCCGAGGCGCAAGTTCCGTTTCCCGTGTGCCGTCGCATGCCATCGTGTACGACGTACGCGACAATCAATACGTGTGTACACGCGTGCATTGCATCTTATGCGCGCGTTTAAGTGAATGGACGTAAGGAGAAGTCACGGGGGTTTCGGGAAGATATGGAGGTACGTATGTCACTCTATGCCAGTGAAATTTGAATAATTTCCCTTCGATCGACTATTCCCGGCATGTGCGACCTAATAACATAGATTCAAGGGGGACAAATTAAATAAAAGACGCGGGCTACTCCTCTGTCAGTCGCAGTTCGATTGCCGATCATCGCTCGCTCGCGTCTCGAGTGGACGAATCGGTCGCGTTTATTAACCACGTGGTATAACGCGAGTCTTCACAAAAGAAACAGGAAGACAGAAGGACAAACGCGAGCGATTTAAAAAATTTTCTGTGCGACGACGAAGAAAAAAAAACAAATCGACATGCGACCGACAGCATCGATAAGCGCGATTGTTCTGCTGATTGGATCGTGCGCGGCCAGTCAGGATTTCTTGACGAGCTCCTTGAACGAGTGCGTGAAAGCGGAATCCTGGACGTCCTGTTTCAAGCATCATGTTCTGGGTTACCTCGACAACAAGCTTGGAACCGTCACGGAGGCCAGGTCGCTGGAAACCATTGACGAGGCGATCGTCGCTAGAACCATGAAATATCTGAAGAGCTTCGAATACGGAATTGACTTGCCCTTCGTCGACGCCAGTTTGAAATACAGACCCAGCAGGAATTTAGCCGATCTCGACGTCGAGTTCAAGAATAACGACGTAGCCACGAATCAAGCTCGTGGACTTCTAAAGAAGAAACTTCTGCTGCCGTTTTTGTTGCTGCTGAAATTGAAACTGAAGGCTCTAATGCCCATTTTTGTCGCCATTATCGGATTGAAAGCTTTGAAGGCTCTCGTTCTGTCGAAGCTCGCTCTTCTCATTGTAATCGGATTCGTCGCTTTGCAGCTCTTCAAGAAAGGCGGTATGATGATGCCGATGGGTACGTACATAACAGAATTGTTTGTTGGTGTCAATATTCTACAATAAATAGATACACTACTAATATAAACACATACTAAATAAATATGACAATATATTAAAATTGTATATATATCTTTAAGTATCATTTTTTCTTGCTTAATTAAGTTTGAAATATTGTTCTTTTATTAAAGTTTGAAAAAAAATTAGAAAGATTTTGAATTTTTGCTTTTATCTCGATCATATAGGAATGTCTATGGAATCGGCATCGACATATGGCGCTCCACCTATGTCCTCGACACCGTCGAGCTACGATCCCGTCAACACGTGGGACGGCAACGGACCGTATTCCCGCGTCTGGACGCCGACCAACGGTGTGGAAGCCCAAAATCTTGCTTACAGCTACTACGCGCCCGGCAGCAGCTCGAGTTCTTACAGCTCGCCAGGCTCCTCTGCGTCGTCCTCGTCCGGAAGCAGCTCAACAAGTTACAACTAAAAGTCGTTCTAATGCCCCACTAATGACGCATCGATCGTCTAACGTTGCCTTCAAACGCGATTTCCGCGATCGCACGTCGGTACCTAAGACACGACCAAAGAAACGCACGCCAAAAATAACCATGCAATGCTAATCTCACGATCGGTGCTGACGAGACGAGTCAGTTAACGAGAGCCTGACATTCAAAGACTGTCGACGTCCCGCGCGTTGGCTATAATCGTAGAATCGTTTTGTCGGTTTGGCAAAACTCGAGCTTGATGTCGAATTTCTAACACTAAAACTTATCGAAGACTTAATTGAGCTAATTAAATTTTTGATCAAGTTTGACAGCGAAGTATCTTCTACGGCGCGCGAGTAGAATTAAATTGAAAATTTTAATTAAAACATTTTTTCGTAGAACGTGTGTTATTTTGTAGAAATTAAGTATTTTTTGTGAAATCGACAAAGCCATTTGCTAATTCTTTCTTTGAGTGTATCACATACGCCGAAAGATAATTAGAATTATCATCTTTCCATCAGAATGTACAGACAGTTGTTGTAAGTGTATTTTATCGCGACGGTCACAATTGTTGATAATAATATAAATAAATAAATAAATATGTCGTCAATTACAGTCGCGAAACAATGCGACATCATCGACTATTTATTTATCGTGTGACGAGATTATTTATTATTATCTATGTATTTGTTAATAAAAGCATCCCTTAAAATAAAAAAAAATAAATAAAAAAACTTAATATTCTGTACACACTTATGCTTCTCTGAGATACAACTTCTTTAAGTCAACTTTTCTGTTATATGTCCTATCAAGCCCCTTTAAGATGATTACCATGTCACCATATAAAATCTATTGTTATCTCGATATCAATTGTTTTTAAAACACATTTCAAATTTACGTAAACTATATAATTAAAAAAGCAACTATTATAATTACTTAAAATTATTATTTTATTAAACATTTAATGAAAGTTAGTGTATGCACTATGTTCTTTAGCTGGTAACATTAGTGGAAATATATGGTAGTCAATTGTGGAGAGAAAACATGAGATGGCGCTCATGTATAAATACTAGTAATATCGGCAATCTATACAAGGCAATTTATTGTCTTCATCTTTTGCACTTTGCTGTAAATTTCATACATATGCATAAGTTATACTAGTTTAATTGAAATTTAACGTATTTTACGTATTTTATTTTTTTTTATTCTAAGAACTGTAATGTGTTTTTTGTAAAATACAAAAAAAAACTAAATTCATTAAAATAATATTTTTTCATATTGTCACACACATTATTAAAAATAACGTTTACATAAATAAGTACATGTTTGTGCTTAAATATCAAAAAAGATAATCTGTTTAAATATCATATAAAAGATTTTTAATTTTTTAAGTTAATATGTGTACTTCACAAATAACTTATTACTTTCGTAATATCACCAAGTAGAAAAATATTTTACATTATATTAATTGCATTACAAAGTTGTGCAAAATGTGTATGTACGGGGTTTGGAATATTAACAAGCCCTTAGGATATTCAAACTAACATTTTGCATTAACATTATTTATTGAACTGTTCTTACCAGGATTGATTTATAATATTATATGAAGCCAATTCGTTGTCTCTCTCTACGGTGTATCCTGAAAGTTGAGAATGCAGTAAAACTTTTACGATTTGTGCATATTACACAAACATTTATACCTAATTTAATTTTGTTCACCGGACAATAATCCTTTTGTTCACATTAGAAGATCGTTCTTTTCAGATTCGATTCACAGATTGAAAACTTCTTTACCTAATGTAATCTTTCCCCTTAGGGAACGTTTTATCCTTTTTGTGAAAAAACCTACTGTGACAAAAATGTTTTCATTGTGCAAGATAGAAGGACAAATGAAACAAGCAATATTGTGTATAATATAGCAAAAAAGATTTAAACGTTTTATACTCGAACAAAAGAACATCGGTTTAGCATTTTTCGATTGTCTCGCCTAAAAATAATTGTGAAAGTTTTTCGGTTTTTACTTTTTTTTTCACACATTATCTTTCTTTCACAAGAAAATCGATTTTGTATGTTCTACCATCTCGGTTTGTAATCGCATTCGTAAAGCTGTCAGTGAAAGCGAATGAAAGCTTTCACTGAAGACTTCCAAACCTATTGAAGAGCGAAAACCAGATTTCTTATCGCTCGAGAATGCTGCAAGATCAAAGAATCTATAAAACCGATATCAATAACAGGATGCATCTATTTTGCTCGCATGATCTCTTTTTTACGTGAGTGATTTGCTGCTGTTGTGGCGCATGCCAATATCCTGCGCCGACTGGGGCACATACACTTTAGAAAGCGTGTTTATCGCATCCTCAAGATCGTGCACGATTGTGAAACCCACCATTACGCTAACAATGTTGCTGAAAGTACGTGTATTATTTTAATAATCATAGTATGGATCTAGCAGTGTTGAACGAAGTTTCCGGGTACCCGCATATGACGTTCCACGGCGATTACACAGAAAAGAATTGCTCGCGTCGTGATCAAGTTCTACGCGTGATAATTGGCATCATTATGCATATTGGCATCTTTCTTTCGCGCGAATTTAGTTCATGATTCCAACGTTTCCGCGTTGTAAAACATTTTCGATTTTTATACGCAAGCGGAGCTGTCGGAAAACCGTTTCCAAATGCTTGACGTAACATCTATCAACTTTTAACAAATAATAATAGTATTTCCGATGGAATGTAGTAAAAATTTTTTACAGCACTTTTTAACTTCCGTCGGAAAATTTTAAGTGTCGAAGTAAAAATTAAATTTATGTAAATTAGGGCATAAATTATAGTTTTTACTGTGATGTAAAATAAATAATGTTTTTATAAAAATAATTATCTCTACGGTTTTTTTATCTTCTTTATGGTGTGTGTGTGGTAATTACTTCCCTCTGTCCCTCCATAAAACATCAGACAATGAAGGCCGAAACTAATCGAGTTCAAAACTTGTGGATGATAAACGCGTTACCTGAAAAGCCGAAATAGAGGAAGATTTTCCGTATAACCCTTCCTGGAAAAATGTCTTTCCGTTCTCCACAATCGTCCTTATTACGTCCCGAAACTCTCCGAAGGGAGAGCGATCTCAAAGATATTCTCCGGCGCAACCACATTCTCACGGTCGGCCGGAAAACCGCGTTTCATCTTCTTCGTATATCCAACTCATTTGCGATCTGAATTACACAGGTCTGTGAATAACCCGCTGTCGTCACTATAAATAGTTTTGCAACGAACGATTACATTCGTCAGTGAGGACCAATTTCTTTGGATACAAATTTTTTTTCTTTGCATCGCTACGAGCACGTTTCTCACGAACACGTCGCGATACTTGACAACAATGGCGTTCACGTAGATGCTTGTTGCTATAGATGTATTATATAGTCGCGAACGCACCATTTGCACGCGTAATTAAATTCTTGTAATTTTTCACGTGATATTTCTTTACGTGTCGCACAAAGATATCGAAAACGGATCGCGATACAGATGCCTTACGTCACCTTCTCTCTCCAGGTGGTCAAATTGATTTAGGCGAGAGCGTGCCTCCGTGTCGCGACGACCCTTAAACGATTGCTCGCAGGATACGTTACTTCCTGCATTCCCTGTTTCTGGTATATGGACAGTCGGCCTAGTGGCTGAAAAAAAGAACGGCGTTTGTCAAGCTGTGCGGATCCTTTCTCTCTGTCTCTCTCTCTCTCTTTTGCGCGCGCGCCCTCCCTTTTTGTACGAGTTCTATTAAAAAAGCTCATATAAAACTGGCGATCTTTTGTCGTAATACACAGAGCCGCGCAACGAGGGTGCTCGAGTGCGCGCACGCAAAAGAACGAGAGAGAAACGGAAGAGAGACGAGGACGATGCAACACGGCGGTGGATGCAACGTGCGCAGCGTAGGCGCCTGTTACACAACCGGAAGCGAAGCTACGGGGCGGAATAAGAAAGTTTGTGTGGCTTAGCTCGGGACGGGACGCGTACTTCGATTCCGCCTCTCTCTTCTCACATCTCGCGCTTCTCTTTCTCCCTCGATTATGTAACGTGAAATTGATACTCGATGTCTCTCGACACCCGGCGGGATCCATCACGCAGCGCTTATGACGCCTTGCGGCTTGCCAACAAATTGTGCAATTTCGTACACATCGTCCGGCTCATTTAACAATGTTTTTTTTGCGCGAACGGAGAGAGAGAGTGTGTTCACCGATGATCGATTGGATTTTAATAAAGCGTGTAAATTTTTCGCACGTTTTACTGAAACGCTACGCGTTTACTGTGAAACTCCCCATCGTGTAATTACCATAATTATATGACTGGTTATTTGAATAATACCATTACTTTACGTACGTACGTACACGGCGACATTTAATGGCACGTGATGTGACATTTGACGCGTAACGTATGTACGTCGCCGCGAATTTTTCTTTCCCGGTGCCTTTTTAACTGCGGACTCACGCAGAAATGTCCTAAGCCAGACATACCGGAACAATTATATCCAACGTGACCTTCGAAATAACATGCGAGTCGCAATCGACCGTGTGACATCGTTCAGGTATTTTTTTTTTCTTGGCAACAACTATTTCCAGATGTGATTTTTTTTATTTTAGGAATGATTGCATGAATTTAGAAATGATGCAATTGCGCGCATTGAATTGTGCTCGCTTGTATTCTTTGAAGATAGTTTCAAGACACTTAATATTTCTTTTCATTTTTAATGTCCTTCAATTCTTTCATTCAAAACACATAAACGTATATCTTTCTTTCTTTTTTTTTTTCTACTCTTGAAGAGACAAATATCTATATATTATATGCAACATGTCGAAAGCTTTATGACATTTTACGATTTTACTTTAAATCATTGTCCGCGTTTTACAAAAAAAAAAAATAACTGCCAGAAGCACAAAGGAGGCTAAGTAACAGAAACTTGTCCCATTATATGCTTTCTTGGAATAACATCGTTGCATAATGCAATTATGTAGCACAGGGCGACATTTAATTCTGGAACGACGTGGCATTTCGACGTGCGTCCGCTGCTGTAGCGAATTTTTACCTCGAGGAAAGCACGTTCCAACATGTTTCTTTCACAGATGTAACAGATGTGCAGTGAACTAGGCCGCCGAATTCACGGCCAATATTTCGCCCGCTCAAATACCATCGATAACGACTTTTCGAGAGAGAGAGAGAGAGAGAGAGAGAGAGAGAGAAAGAGAGAAAGAGAGAAAGCACGAGGGGCGGACGAAGTGTCGGATAATAGGACCTGCGTGAGAGAAAGGTGCGCAACTTTCAAGAGACAGGTAAAATAGTCCGACGGAAGCGATTTAAGTTATTTATTTTGGCACCCGTTAACGACTCTATTCTGTCTCTCGATTCTTTCACCGTCCGATCGATAGGTTTTTTTTTGGGACGAAGGGTTGGTCATAAAGAGCTTGCAATCTCTGACTTTCTCTTGTTTTTACAAATAGAACGACAGAACGAGAACGCGTGTCGATCTCCCCCTCTTCCCCCTCGAGAAGGTTTCTAAACGAGCGGAATCCTCTCATGATCGGCCGATCGCTATCTGAACGGAGATGGACGGCGAGAAACACGCGAGAATTTGAGATGAGCCGAGGTACATTGTTGTCCCGGGGAAAATATCTCGTCAGGACCCGCGCGCGCGATCGGTATCGAAAAAAAAAGTTGTGCCGGTCGACGTTTGCGGAAGGACACAAAATTTACTCAGCTCTTGATATAAGTAACGGCCTTGGCGCGGGAGCGCGAAGTCGAACTGCTGCTAAGGTGCATGTTTCCGACATCTCTTACAGAGAGAAAAGGAACT